TTTTTGCATGCTCTTAGGTAAATGGCTTGACCTTTAGGGAAAACTGTCGGTTTCACTCAAAGCCCTCGACGAGGGCTAAAAAGTGACCGCGAGTGAAATTCTCTTTATATAAGCTCTATTACGAAAAAAAATTTCCTCCGACGACCCCCCTTGAAATTTTGTGAGGTGGTAGGAGAACGCCTCGGGGTGTCACAAAAAACTCGCCATGTCCGGGAAAATTCGTTAAGTGGGTCAAAACTGACCAGTCGTATTTCCCTATATAATCTTTGTATTTTATGGGAAAAACAGTGTAATTTCAACACAATTTTTAGGTTACTTAACCTCTGTACATCATACTAATGTTTTGCATACATTTCTATAGATGACTAGGCCGTATGAAAAAACTGTTGAGCACACTCAAAGCCCTCGACGAGGGCTAAAAGATGACCGTGAGTGACATTCTTCTTATATGAGATGTATATAAATAAATTGACGAACGATCCACTTAATATTATTTGAGGTCGTAGACCGACCCTGAATGGTAACAAAAAAACTTTATTCCAGTCGGGAAAAGCCATTGTAGTCGGTAAATATGGTCATATATTGTATTTTCTACTATAAGCATTGCATCTGTCTGTTAAAAAAAAGTAAACAATGACAGACGTCATTCGGGCCATTTTCAAGGGAGGTAACCTTTTTAAATAATTATTTTTCAATTAATTGTATACTATTTTAAACAGAAACAGAAAATGACAAAGTATAGCATTTGTTTTAGTAAAACATTAATTTTTTAATTAAGCTACATATCATAATTAAATAAAAAAATTAATTTTAAAAGTTAACGTAATATAAATTATGAGATATACTGATCGTGGAACCTCTGTAGTTCTAATTTCATTTTAGTCATAAATTGCGTACTTTCAGTTATTTTCTTTGAAAGCGGATCGTAAACAACATACAACAACATCTTCTCTCAAATAAGCATTACTGTTTAAATTTAACACTCCACACCTCATCAATCAATAAATAATTAGTATTCAAATTATCAAATGTTTTTGACAACCTAAGCGAAGCTAGGCAGTATGCCTAGTATTACATATATATACATGTATCAGTTATAGTCGGGAGCAAGTATTGCTGTTGTCGTTCGCATCTCGCTATTAGTGTCGGAATATTTGTTACGACATTGTTCTGCCATTTCTTCAAACGTCGAGCGACACTGCTTATAACACCACCCTACTGTCGTGGTGTGATGTGTACACCACCTTACAGTTGGGGTGTGATGTGTACACCACCTTACAGTTGTGGTTTGATGTGTACACCACCCTACAGGTGGGGTGTGATGTGTACACCACCCTGCAGCCGTGGTGCGATGTGTACACCACCTTATAGTTGGGGTGTGATGTGTACACCACCTTATAGTTGTGGTGTGATGTGTACACCACCTTACAGTTGTGGTGTGATGTGTACACCACCCTACAGGTGGGGTGTGATGTGTACACCACCCTGCAGCTGTGGTGTGATGTGTACACCACCTTATAGTTGGGGTGTGATGTGTACACCACCCTACAGGTGGGGTGTGATGTGTACACCACCTTACAGTTGGGGTGTGATGTGTACACCACCCTACAGGTGGGGTGTGATGTGTACACCACCTTACAGTTGTGGTGTGATGTGTACACCACCCTACAGGTGGGGTGTGATGTGTACACCACCTTACAGTTGTGGTGTGATGTGTACACCACCTTACAGTTGTGGTGTGTTTCGCATCGACCGTGATGTTTGAAGTCAAAGTGTTGAACGAATCAGACTGTTGGCTGTCTCGCCACATTTTCCTGTCAAAATACGGTTAGTCTTGTTGTTGTAGCATAAGGTTGGGCGGCGTTGATCAACCATGAGACAGCATCACGCACCAGGGGTCCGTTACCTGTGTTTGGGTTTATATAGGCTATGCTTTGGTCACGTGACAGAAAGCCTAGCGAGTTTTTGATTGGTTAGGTCGATCAAAGGTTTTGTGCTGTGCGTCAATGAGAATATGTTAACATACTGTATCTCAATGGAGGTCTAACCAGTGGCGTAGCGAGGTCGGGTGTCACCCGGTGCAGCACTTAATTGTGTCACCCCCCAGAGGCATAGAGACCCTTCCCAGGGACAAACTTTCAAATTTTCGATTTGCACCCCCCCTCAAACTTTCGAATTGCACCCCCCTCGAGTTTTTCTCTATATATTTTGCTGTTTTTTGCCTTGGTGTCACCCCCTAAATGGTGTCACCCGGTGCGGTCCGCACCCCCCGCCCCCCCCCCCCCCCCCCTCGCTACGCCTCTGGGTCTAACTATATCGATTTTAAATTAATCATTTAGAAGAAAAGTGGAAAGGTAGGGAGATGTGTGTTGTTCACACGCTCGTGTAAGTGTATATTGTGTGTATATCTTTGATATAATTCAGTAGTAGGCCTACTAACTTAATTAAAACACTAATAATTGATAATTTACACTTACAGCTAAACATAAAGGCTTTGATGAACTGTAACAAGTTTTACAACAAATTGTTTTATAAATATAATGTAGCAGGATCTTATACAATACAATACAAATAAATAGAATAATAAAATATTTTTCATCCATGAGCCTAATGAATAAGTATAATAATCTAGTGTGTACAAAACGGCTATTATTTACTTACTTTATATATATTGTGATTATTATACTTGGTAGGCAGATGCGTGACAAAATAACTAATATAATCGATTTTTCAGAATTACAAAATAAGGGAAAGATATAATAGGACAAGGGTCGCTAACCTTTTGAGACGGAAGAGCCAAAATTTACAATCTACAAAATTTCCAAATTTAAAAAAAGAAGCGACTTACATTTGTATATGCACTTTGCACTGGCCGTTAATTTACTTAATTACCAGTAACTGAAAATATTTAACTTAACATCTTTTCCTCTGTAAATTCTGCAGTTGGTGTCACCCTTGGGTGATAGCTTTATATGGTGTACAGTTAACAGTAATGATGTTTATCTATAAAAGGTTATTAATACAGTTGGATGTAGCAATTGTTTGTCTATAGTTATAAGCAGGTTTGCGCCATCGTGTCACCTCCCCACCCTTGTCAATTTGTATTTAGAAGACTTTTTCACTCAAATTAAGCATCAACTAATTAGTACAAAAAATAATTTCATCTATATATTTTGCATTTTTTTTTCTTGGTGTCACCCGGTGCAGTCCGCACCCCCTCCCTCGAGACGACTATGTTCTACTCAACCTATTCTTATTTTTTTTTAAAGCTGTTTTTGTTTTTATTGAGTTTTGGAAAAAATATAATATAATTATTATAGAACTGGAGAGCCGCATTTTGAAATTAAAAGAGCCGCACGCAGGTTGCCGACCACTGTACTGGATAAAATATGTCAGAAATGTACATTAAATACAATTTTAAAACAAATTATATCAAAATCGCAATTTCTGTGTTTTTAGTAGTTTTTATTTCTCATTACAAATCTATGTACAAAGGGTGCAGATGCACCTGTCGAGATCTGCACTTCCTAGAATTCCGTGCGACACGTATTTTTTCGCCACGTTTCTTCGGGGATCAAATCCTCGTAGGGCAGCAGGTGTATTAAGTCCTGCTTAACCTGAAGATATATAATCACATTACATGGGGTTGTGTTATACTAGGATGCCATAGTTTTAGGTGTATTAAGTCCTGCTTAATCTGGGGGATATATAATCACATTACATGAGTTCGTGTGATACGAGGTGGTAGCTATGCACGGTGTATTATGTCCAGTGTGTACAGATTATATCTGTACCGATCCGTAAATATTTTAAAACATATTACTTGGCCAAGCATAAAAAAAGATTCTGCTTTGTAACCATAAGCTTACTATTACAACATTTGTCACAAAAAAAAAAAAAAAAACTTATGGTGCTCTCAATAGCACCATTGGGAAAATGATGACACCTTTTGAAAAATAATAATTACCAAGCATCTTAACAACATCATAAGCCAACTTTTGCACCATACGACTAAAGCATATGCCGTATACTACACTGTACGACATAACTATAACCTTTGCTTACTTTTTCCACTTCTTTAAAGACCCGAATGAGGTTTTTCCCAGCAAGCTTCTCTATGTCTTCTGTAGTCCAGCTCTCGTTACTTTTGACTAACGCCTCAAACAGATCTGGGTACTTGGACACATCCTCTAGTCCATGAGTCACGCTGGTGATACAGTTATATGTTGTTTTTAGTTGCCTTACTACTTTTCGATAGAATCACTATTCATACTAAAATCCACCATTTATAGTATAAAGAAAAAAAATATAAAGGACGAGCACTTTGTTTTAGCATTATTGTAATGATCACAAATGTATTTCAAGTTTTATCAAGACGTTTAGTGTTCTACTCACATGTCAACTCCATCAAAATCTCCACCGATGCCGATATGATTTGGTCCTATTTTATTTCTGACGTAATTGATATGATCTGCAAAAAAAAAAAACAAAAAAAAAAAACCAATAAGTAAGACGTTCATTTATTTTCTACAATACGATTGATTTAACGTCCTTTTAGCTTTCACATTTCCTTTTCGTACATCATCTGCGATACATTTTTTGCCCTGTTTTTCTTTAAAATTAGTAAAAAGAATCTTATTTAGTCCTAGCTATCTATTGTGCAGATGAATTAGAGTTGATATGTTTCTTGACCTCGGCATATTAACAGAAGGGATGCCCAATCGCCTTTACTTTCCCAAACATGAGTTAGGTACCAATCAAAGCTGGGTGTACACAGGGACGTGCTACTGACTTGGACAAGGATTTTTGAACTCGAAACTTTCGGGTTAGCAGTCTAGCGTCTACCGTTTGGGACATGACGTCTTATCATTTTTATAAGCAGTCAATAAAAATGTAAATAAATAACGTTTAAAAAATAAAGACGGTTGTTTTAGGACTGGCAATATTACATTGTATAAACAGTGATTTAAACTGTTGTTATTTATGAAAGAATATCTTACCTACAACATCTTTAATCGTGGAGTTATCACTGCATGACACGAAGTTTGGGTAAAAATTAATCATTATGATTCCATTATTTTCTTTCTGAAAAAATAATATTACATTTGTTTTAACATAATAGTTGTAAACCTAGATGGTTCATTCAAATACTATCTATCTGTATACTGAAAGAATTCGCGTGAATCTAGAACGATGTTTAATAAAGTGCTTGCATTTAGGTGTATATGCTTGAATGTACTTATGTGAATAATAATGCATGTGTTTTTTACTTTCTCGTATATACGAAGTATAGAGAAAGTATTGTAATCGTGCAAAAAAAAAAAATCGAGATTTTTACAAATCTCGACGTTTTATATCTTACTGATACGGAAAAACATAATTTTGCAATCTTGTCCGTATGTCTGTGTGTCTGTGTGTGTGTGTGTGTGTGTGTGTGTGTCCGTGTGTAAACACGATAACTTGAGTACCGTTACAGCTAGGTTGATGAAATTTCATATATAAGTATTTTATCAAAATCGTAGATCCGTATCAACTTTTGAGCGATTTCCGATAACCGGAAGTGGTACTTTTCCTACTTTGAAATTTTCAAAAGCCTATAACTTGAGTACTATTTCAGATAGATAAACGAAATTTCACATGTAAGTAAAAGATCTAATTCTCTACCTTCTGTTTAATTTTGAGTCATTTCCGTTGAACGGAAGTAGTAATTTACGCTACTTCCGATTTCTCAAAAAACTAATGTAAATTTTTAAAGTACTAATAATATTGCGCACTATTATGCACTTTTTTATTTAGCGTTCACTTGGTGTGCAATTCTTTTGTCTACGAGATTTTATTCTATTTTTAAAACTTTAAGTATTTAAAATGGATTAAAAATCATGTCTATAGCCCGAGTTCCCATCCCCTGTTATTTTATATAAAAATATTCGAGAAAGTTTAGGGGAGATCACTCCCGGTTTATTAATGTTCGTATTTGAAAAGGTGTGTTTGTTTCGTACGCTCTTCAGAGCTTCATTATATGTGTGTGTTTGTGTCATTGCACACGCTGATGTGTTAAAATATAAATGTGTTGCAATGTAAAGTGTAGTGTACATTTAAAAGGTAATGCCAATCCCCATGCCCCCTGTTGCGTACAATGACTTTCCCTCCGAGTACTACGGGGTTACGGGCTCAAAGAGAGAGAGAGAGAGAGAGAGAGGGATGTAAAGGATGTAATTTAAAAATTAAAAATATTGATAATGAAGACATGGGTTGCGAGACTGTAACTGAAGCGAAATATATACTCTGCAATCGGCATCGAGGATGCATATACGTATGTTAAACATGCAGTGTTTTGTATTACTTCAGACTCCTATGGTACTAGCCCAGGGGTCGGCGACTTTTGAAGCGGAAGAGCCAAAAGTTACAATGTTCAAAATTTCCCTGGTTTTAAAGAACCACTAACATGTTTTTTATTTCAAATATTTTATTTTTCGATTAAGATTAATAGTATTTGTGCAAGGAGCTGGAGAGCCGCATCTTGATATCAAAAGAGCCGCATGCGGCTCGCGAGCCGCAGATTGCCGACCCCTGTACTAGCCTAAGCCCACAAGTCCACCAACAGCACGTCCCTTACCAACTTGTCGAGCACATCATCCCGAACGTTCCTCGAGTGGTTGCAGAGACTGTAGACCGACGAGTGGCTAAACATGACCGGAGCCTGAGTCACGCTGAGGGCGTCCAGCATGGTCTTGTGGCTAACGTGAGACAGGTCCACCATCATGCCAAGACGGTTCATCTCCTTGACAACGATCTAAACAAACAACTATGATGTTCTTAGCCAGCTTATTGTTGATTAGTTAATAAAGAAAATATAACCGCGACATGTATCTAGCAAAATATATATATATATATATATATATATATATATATATATATATATATATATATATATATATATATATATATATATATATATATATATATATATATATATATATATATATATACATGCGTGTGTGTATGTATTTATACAGATATATTTATAGATGTATGCTAAAAAATTATGGTATCATGCCATATAATTTCAACAATAAGATGCTAAAAAACAAACTTTTCCAAACTCGGTAAGTCCGTCAGATCCTTCGGGCTTGTTTTCTGGATCGTCCATATGGCTGTTGCCTGCCCTGATACGTAGACACAAGTAAATATGACTTTTCGGTGAGACACGATGACAGCAGTTATGAAAAACTAAATTATTAAACTGTCTTGTAATTTTTTTTACAACGGTTTTATTTGGCTTATTTAAACAGTCATTAATTAACGATGGGCTAAGGCATTCATGTTTGGCTTAATTTTTAAAATGAAGTTGTTTCTAAGTGTCATCAATAACCAAATAACAGGATATGTACATGTCGAATGCTACTCACCAGGGGGTGTTGCAGGTGTGGGTCAAGGTCATGTAGCGAACCCCCAGCTCGTAGAACATGCGGAGGTTACCGAGGCTGCTGTCAATAGAGTGACCTCCCTCTAGTCCCATCATGCTCCCAATCTTCCCCTTGTTAAAGGCGTCCATAATACCTGGGAAATGCCAAACAATTTAACCATCTACTGGGTCGGTGTTTCCGGTTCGGTAAAGCTTATGGCTGATAAACTGAAAGTCCTGAGTTCGAAACCCATGGCCAATAACTTATCTAAAATAGCAAAAATCTCCAAAATCAAACTATTTAGAAATAAAAAAAAATCATTAAACAATGTTTTAATAACAAGCTTTTAAATATTATGACTGCCTACTAATTTGGACACAGTTTTAATTAATTAATTAAAAAAAATAATTAGCCCTCCAATTAAGTCAAATTTAATTTAATGTCTTCTTGTCTTGACCCACGTGCCAACTTTGAACCGTATGTGTCATATAGAAGTGCCCGTAATTTCGCTCAGGCATTTCGATCTAGAGAGACAGACGGACGACTGAGGAAGCAAGTTCAATATAAGCTTGTAAAAAGCAGGCTGAATTTGGAGTCAACGTTCAATATGGCGCATACAAGTTTGGCCCGTAATATTAAGTTGTGATGGAGGAAATCACGTCCAAGATTTGAATATTAAAAATGAAGACGAACCATCAACTCACAACAATACCGACCAGACAGGTCTTAAATATATATTAACCGTAGAACCAAATCATATCATTGTCTCTTTGACTATAAAGTCGTAACCTGAAATTTTCTACTCACTACGAAACAAAAATTTTAAAAAAATATTTTTTTGACAGTATTATATTTTAACATTGCTAGATTGTAATTTATTTATTTATTTATTTTATTTTGTTTTATTTTTTAATAATTTTTTTTAAAATCATGTGGCTTAGACATGTGTCAGAAAATGTTCCTCCTAAATTCAGATTTAAAACTTATTGTTTAAATACATTTCACACAAAAGGTCTTTTTGTGCAGATTTTTATTTTTTGTTTTATTTTGCATTTTTGCATTAACGAAAATAAAAAAATAAAAATTAAAACATCTATAAATTCAATATTCTGTAATTGATAGTTATGCCCCTTTTCAGTTTTCGTTCTAACCAAGAAAACCAACATACCTTCGCTAGCTGTGACAAACTCAAAATCGTCAGGGTACATGGAGACGAACTTTTTGATGACGTCAGTCTGGTCCAATGAGAGGGTGACAGCGTCCTTGTACTGGCTCTTACACGACACGTAGATCGCCCAGAACTGTATGGACACGTTTACATTACAATGTATAGGACACATTTACATTACAATGTATAGGACACATTTACATTACAATGTATAGGACACATTTACATTACAATGTATAGGACACATTTACATTACAATGTATAGGACACATTTACATTACAATGTATAGGACACATTTACATTACAATGTATAGGACACATTTACATTACAATGTATAGGACACATTTACATTACAATGTATAGGACACGTTTACATTACAATGTATAGGACACATTTACATTACAATGTATAGGACACATTTACATTACAATGTATAGGACACATTTACATTACAATGTATAGGACACATTTATATTACAATGTATAGGACACATTTACATTACAATGTATAGGACACATTTACATTACACTATTTCTTCAAGTGATATAATGATAACAGAATATTACGAACACCACTCTAACAGATGCAGAGCTGGTGAACGTACCGGGTTCGTTTAGAGGGTTACACACAGATGACTTATAGCCAAAAAAAGGTAGCAGGTATAAAAATTCACCGAGGACTCGTACTTAACGTCTAGGGGATAAACTCGAGGAACTCTTGATACCAACAACACTTTTAATCTATATATAACTTTTAAAATGTGTACAAGTTCAAAGTAAGACTCTAGCTTTATACAAAATATAATGAATGAGCAGAATAAACAAAACCCAACTTACAAGTTGAAGAAAAAACACTATGTTACACTATCACAGGATATGGCACTTAGGAAAATCACCACAGCTTATACGAAACTACTTCAAGCACACAATATTACTTAAACCACAAGCAATAAGGGAAAAATGCTGCTCTAAAACTACAGAGTACAAAATGGCGGCACACACGGTTTTCTCTCTCAGGATCTGGTCTGGACTGCCGCGAGAGACGTGTGCGCAGGCTATTTGAACTACTTCGGAAACATGGGAGGTCACCTTCAATTCATAAGACTATTGGTTAGGCCATCGCCGATGTCCGAATCAACCAATCGAAATTATAGAAAGTTTGCACCACATATCGTGATGGAAAAGTACTGGGTATAGATCTTTCTTGAAACTATGGAAAAATACCGGTGATTACACCACAGGTCACCCATGGTTGATTAATAAAAGTAAAACTAAAAATACAGGACCTAAGTAGGTCACAAACATTTACATTCCACTTTATCTCCAAGAAATATGAGAAGAGACTATATGGAAAAAAGTTATATTACACTATTTCTTGTACTAATAAAAGTTCAAAACTGTATGGACACATTTAAATTTACTATTTATCCCAGTGATATGAAAACAGATGTATAGGACGGTTCCCAGAAAGAACCGCAACGGAAAAAAGCGCAACGGAAAAAAGCGCAAATCAAAAAGCGCAACGGAAATAAGCGCACACGGAAAAAAGCGCAAAGAGAAAAAAGCGCACACAGAAAAAAGCGCAAAGAGAAAAAAGCGCAAACGGAAAAAAGCGCAAAGAGAAAAAAGCGCACACAGAAAAAAGCGCAAAGAGAAAAAAGCGCAAACGGAAAAAAGCGCAAAGAGAAAAAAGCGCACACGGAAAAAAGCGCAAAGAGAAAAAAGCGCAAACAGAAAAAAGCGCAAAGAGAAAAAAGCGCACACAGAAAAAAGCGCAAACAGAAAAAAGCGCAAACGGAAAAAAGCGCAAAGAGAAAAAAGCGCAAACGGAAAAAAGCGCAAACAGAAAAAAGCGCACACGGAAAAAAGCGCAAACGGAAAAAAGCGCAAACGGAAAAAAGCGCAAACAGAAAAAAGCGCAAACGGAAAAAAGCGCAAACAGAAAAAAGCGCACACAGAAAAAAGCGCAAACAGAAAAAAGCGCAAACGGAAAAAAGCGCAAACAGAAAAAAGCGCACACAGAAAAAAGCGCAAACGGAAAAAAGCGCAAACAGAAACAGAAAAATGCGCAACCAGAAAAAACACAAAGAAAAATGTGCAAAAGAGAAATTTAGCACAAAGACCATATGGACTAGATGACACATTTATACATGACTGTTAGGGCTGCTGTGAGAGTGTCGTGTTTGATCACGTGATCTACTACCATTTAAAGCGTACCACTACCATCTGCATTCCCATCACCACGATACAGGCGATAATCACTTTACACAATGCCTATTATTTTCTTGGTCAATAATTATTCAACTACTATTCTCGTATAAACATAAAACTATCGACATTACACGAAGTATCTTTCACATTCTCCCTAGTCCGAACTACCTAGCTTGCATACTATAACAACCCGTTCCTATGGCAAAACTTCACTCTCTTTCATCCGCGTCATCAAACATGCATTCGTCATATCTCTCGTAACAACATTCATTCGCACCAAAATAACAATTTTGTATTTAATATTTTTTCACATCATGACGCACCTACCTACCTACCTACTACCCACCTACCCACCTACCTACCTACCTACCTAACTACCCACCTACCCACTTACCCACCTACCCACCTACCCGCCTACATACTTACCAAACTACCCACCAAAAAAGTATCGGCGAAGTTCGTAAGTTTCGTAAACTGTACTAGACATCTTTTTTTTAAATGAAAATTCATTGACATCATTGACATATGTTACATATATGTTACATTTTGCGACAACCTTAATTAGTGCGTTGGGCTTGTATGAAAACTCACTTCGAACTAACTCAATTACATGCTATTTATTTTAACATTACACGGTAAGCGTCACCCAACTGTTGTGATGTGAGGTGAGGACAGGTTCGACAATAAACCAACACGAAAGTACGAAAGAGACATAGATTGCCTATTAGAGAATGGACCCCTTAACTTTCCTAACCCCACCATTTATTATACCCTACCTAACCTCTAAATTTACTGCGCTAAATGTCACTTCCCTCCCAATCGTTCCTATTCTACAGAATTGTGTATACTATTTATTTACATTCTTTAATCTCAATATAACTAAAATAGACTTTTGTTTGAAGGGTAATGAAAACATGTAAACAAAAGGGACGCTACTCTAAATCTATGCGAATACTTATATGCAGTGGCGTAGGCAGGGGGGGGGGGTTTATGGGGGGTCATAACCCCCCCCCCCCCCATAGACCCTTCGGTATATATATATATATATATATATATATATATATATATATATATATATATATATATATATATATATATGGTGGGGTTAGGAAAGTTAAGGGGTCCATTCTCTAATAGGCAATCTATGTCTCTTTCGTACTTTCGTGTTGGTTTATTGTCGAACCTGTCCTCACCTCACATCACAACAGTTGGGTGACGCTTACCGTGTAATGTTAAAATAAATAGCATGTAATTGAGTTAATTCGAAGTGAGTGTTCACACTAGCCCAACGCACTAATTAAGGTTGTCGCAAAATATAACATATATGTAACATAATATGTCAATGAATTTTCATTTAAAAAAATATGTCTAGTGCAGTTTACGAAACTAACGAACTTCGTCGATACTTTTTAGGTGGGTAGGTGGGTAGGCGGGTAGGTGGGTAAGTGGGTAGGTGGGTAAGTGGGTAAGTAAGTAAGTGGGTAGGTGGGTAAGTGGGTAGGTGGGTAAATGGGTAGGTGGGAAGGTGCGTAGGTAGGTGCGTCATGATAATATTAAATACATAATTGAGAGATACTTCATGTAATGTCGATATCAATGATATTTTGATGTTTATTTATACGAGAATAGTAGTTGAATAATTATTGACCAAGAAAATAATAGGCATTGTGTAAAGTGATTATCGCCTGTATCGAGGTGATGGGAATGCAGATGGTAGTGGTACGCTTTAAATGGTAGTAGATCACGTGATCAAACACGACACTCTCACAGCAGCCCTAACAGTCATGTATAAATGTGTCATCTAGTCCATATGGTCTTTGTGCTAAATTTCTCTTTTGCACATTTTTCTTTGTGTTTTTTCTGGTTGCGCATTTTTCTGTTTCTGTTTGCGCTTTTTTCCGTTTGCGCTTTTTTCTGTGTGCGCTTTTTTCTGTTTGCGCTTTTTTCCGTTTGCGCTTTTTTCTGTTTGCGCTTTTTTCTGTGTGCGCTTTTTTCTGTTTGCGTTTTTTTTCCGTTTGCGCTTTTTTCTGTTTGCGCTTTTTTCCGTTTGCGCTTTTTTCCGTTTGCGCTTTTTTCCGTGTGCGCTTTTTTCTGTTTGCGCTTTTTTCCGTTTGCGCTTTTTTCTCTTTGCGCTTTTTTCCGTTTGCGCTTTTTTCTGTTTGCGCTTTTTTCTGTGTGCGCTTTTTTCTCTTTGCGCTTTTTTCTGTTTGCGCTTTTTTCTCTTTGCGCTTTTTTCCGTGTGCGCTTTTTTCTCTTTGCGCTTTTTTCCGTTTGCGCTTTTTTCTCTTTGCGCTTTTTTCTGTGTGCGCTTTTTTCTCTTTGCGCTTTTTTCCGTTTGCGCTTTTTTCTCTTTGCGCTTTTTTCTGTGTGCGCTTTTTTCTCTTTGCGCTTTTTTCCGTGTGCGCTTATTTCCGTTGCGCTTTTTGATTTGCGCTTTTTTCCGTTGCGCTTTTTTCCGTTGCGGTTCTTTCCGGCCACCGTATAGGACACATCCGAATTATACCATCCAGTACTATGAGTTCTGATTTATATGGTGCGATTCTTTAGAACGAACTGGACATACATGACACATAATCTTTCACTACAATAAGATATATTTTAATATATATATTTTTAGATCAAAGAGATTATTTCTAAATGAAACAAACAAGTATCTTCCAGAACTATGGGGACAGACATATGACAAGCATATAATCAAGAAACATGTAAGTATATTTATATATCTCGTATTCTAGTATCACCGTCAGTCCATTTTGAATCAAACACATCCACTCACTCATCACCCAGACTCACCTGTGCACCGACCATGCCCTTCCTTAACCTCGGTATGTCCGTCTGCACATCTTCCCAGCCCGTTTTGAGGTTTTTACCCCACACCTTGTTGTCGGTCAGGTTACGGAATTTGTCAGCCAGATCGTTATGTCTGTGGACGATGGTACGACTTGACCTCATGACTTTTGTGTGGACTTACAAACTGAAGCTTCGATGTTTGGTTAATGTGTTGATTAGTGCTTCTTCCAGGGGGGGGGGGGGGGGTTGCTCCTCCATTGAAATTTTAATACGCCCCCCCCCCATCTCTCGAAAAGTTCAAGTGCACCCCTTCCCCCCCCCCCCCACTGGAGAAAAATGTCTAGAAGAAACACTGTTCTTGATTAGGATTGAGGAACTATCACGCATTATTCAATGTTATATTGTGGGAGATGTAAGGTGCTTAATGTAATGATCATACGGTATTTGACACAAGTAATATGTTTCAAGAAATGTCATCGTATTGTGAAGATTACAATTGTTTTGTAGTAAAGTAAAACTCCCTTTTTGAAACCAACGGTTTGTGGGGCAAAGTAGAGTTTACCTGTTTCTGTGACCTAAGCATATGCAGGTATTGCGTGGTCAGCACTATGTCCAGCCAACTGTATTCCTCCTAATATCTGTTAGGGTACCCATCAGAGCTTAGTAGATTCTTTGACGTTCTAGTGACTTGAACATGGATTCGAAATCGCATTCCGATTATTGTTGTTTTAATTTAATTGATTTTCAGTGTAACTCAAGAAAGAAAGAGAATCCTTCTTTGTGGCATGTGAGATGTATTGAATGAATACTATGTACCATAAAGGTAAGTTGTAAGTGACAGTAGTGTCACTTTTTGACACAATGAAAGTGACGCACTCAGATGTAAGTGACAGTGATTTCACTGACAGATACTCATCAAAAAGGGGCAGTGCTGTCACTTCATGACACAACGACAATGACTCACCCAGATGTGACAGTGACGTCACTATATAACATAACAACAGCGACTCACCCGTCAATCAGTGGCACACGTGACAGGATGTCTGTGATGTTCGGTATCAGCGTGTCCCTCGCTGAAACTCTACCGGAAGCATCGTCATTGTCCTGTAGACCAAGTCCTAGTCCTAGTCCTAGCGTCAGACCCAGGACGGCGACCACAGAGATGACCACTGGCCGAAGAAAGCCACACATCATTGTTAGTTCATGTTGGTCAAGGTTTATTTGAAAATATGTTTTTTTGTACACAGCAAAACCTTGTATATAGTGGTAAAAACATGTCTGCAATGAGCTTTATTTAACATTACAAGTTTATGAAAGTCAAAATATCTAACAAAATCTAATCCTAGACCTAAGCCTCACCCTAGTTCACACTTTTATTCTAACCATAACCCTATACCTTTAAAAGTAATGTTTACATTTCACAACATAACTATAATGTTGACTCTAGCCATAACTCTAACCCTTATATCCGACTCTAAGATCACTGCCTTCACCCTGACCTTCCCGCCTTCACTAACTATTACTGTAAACTTGCCTTAACCTCCGCTCTAAACCTAACCATAACGGAAGTAAAATAATATCTTTACCATAAATTTACCAGATGGCACTACACTTTTAATACTTTAAACCTTTTTTATTTATCCTAGTCAGTCAGGTTTATTTTTAAATGTGTTAATTCGACATACATAGATAACAAACTCATTATAGGTCAGTCTATTACATAGGTATTTAAAAATGTATAAACTTCGAATTGTGAAACTTCATTATGATCATAGGCTCCTATACTTGATGAACATGTCCAAGCTGATCTCTAGCGTTAAATACATATAACACATCTGTATACTATACACTCGCAACTCACCCCAGCTATCCTTGGCATTGTTAAAAGCCAGTCGCTGATATAAGCACCAGTACCTTACCTCGGAATACCATTAGTTTACATGGGACTAATTACCTATCACTACTATATTGAGATGCAATTCATGAGCACCTAAACTCACCTATTTCTGATCTAATTCGTCATCTACTCTAGCTCAGGATCCGAACTCTACTAGACTTTCGGGCTAGCAGTCGTCAGCTCTACCACTAAACTTCGCGGTACTGCCATGATTCAGTGTTTCTTCCAGACTTTTTTCTCCGGGGGGGCACTAGGAATTTTCGGGGGGGGGGGGGGGGCGGTAGACTTTCTTCGGGGGGGTGGACACTGTTAAAAGTATATATTTTCTATATAAATTATATAAATTTCATTTCGTTCGGGGGCGGTAAAACTTTTTTGGGGGGGCTTTGCCCCCCCCCCGAAGAGATGCCTGGAAGAAACTCTGCCATGCTTGCCTACCTGTACATCACCTGCAGCTAACAAGACGACAGTAACTCACCTATAACCGTCATACTGCGGTGTTTTCTTGCCGAATGCAGCAGTCCCTCCAGACTTGTAGACCTATCGCGTGCCATCCTCACCAATAATCCGTCTAAATCCTCCCAGAACAACAGCGTGGGATCTAACCGTCAGACCAGCAGTGTTGATTATTCAATTACAAACTTTGGTGCGCCTTTGATAAAAAATAATTGACCCAATTTCGAAAGTACTATTTAGTGTGGCGACATTTAAACTAGAACTAGCCAACACGAAACATTCCCAAGATATTGTGTTCGAAAACAGATAGGCCCTATTTTTATATCTTTATTAGCAAAAAATAAGTGAATGTGTGATTATTTTTTGAGGTTATTGTAACAATGAAAGTAGATTATTATTTTTTTCTCTTCCTTTTATTAGTAGAAAAGTAAGTTTGTGATTAATTTTGGATTTTTTTGCGACAATGAAAACACATTATTTTTTTTTTTCTGTTAATAGCAAAAACGTAATTTAAATTTAATTTTTAAAAGTTTTTGTAACTTTGAAAATAAAAACTTCAATCGTTCGTGAATTTCTACGCCACTTCACCCGCTCCAATTTACATTACGGTCCCTATTATTACCATTTAAACTTCCAGACAGTCTTTAACTATTATTCCATTCTATTTACATGGTTAAATTTAAAGCCGCCTAATCTTCCCACTAATTTATTTAGCTTTAAACCATCAAAGTACCTAACTTTATTCCACATCAATACAAAGCATTACAACACCCAAATTACCCTAGAGTCATACCGCCTCATCACAAAGATCGTAGTATCAGTATGCAATTTGATGCTTACAAATAGTCTTTCTTTCATAACAACTCACGGGCATAGAACCAAAACTTCAAAACCAATAAAGCTTAAATTCAAATTTATTTATTAATTTATTATATGTTATACACAAGCACAAACATGTGACTTATAAAAGTACTAAACTGCATACAAAAGCGCATATCACTCATTAAAACAATATAGTCTGTAGTTTAAACCACAGTAAAGAAAGCACTTAACCATGGTATTAAACCGCATAACTATAAAATAATAACTGGTTATAATATGGTGTTCTTACTTTATAACTTGACTGTTATGTTTTAATATTTATTATCTTTGTACACACAATATACTCTATCAACATTATACACAATAAAACACATCACCATTTAATATAAACATAATCTTTTACTTTTTATTAAAATCTACACTACAAGCTGCATTTATAAATTACGAACAACCACACACCACACGTATTTTTCCTCATTTATTATCACAACATTTAAAACAATGAGGTAACAGATATGGAATGAGAGACATGCGGACCAATGACCTCCCATATTTCATATTCTCACCCCCCCCCCCCCAAGTAATATTTAAAAAATAGCAACAACATGTAAACCATCCATTATACTTGTGTACCGGGTAGATTTTTTAGCTGAGCACCCAGACAGGGTAATCGATATTCTTTCATCTATCGAAAATTGGCTTGTGTACGAACAGCTTTACTGAACTGAATATAACATCTCTTGATCAGTGGACTTTTAACATTATACCTTCATAAGTATGCTGGCCTTAATATGTTAAATAAACCCCAAACTTCAATAACTACATTTAGTAGGTTATCTATTTTTTTAAAGTTTATTCTCTGCCCCTTCTTGTTAATATCTTACGAGGAGTGGTTTTTAAAGGGCGATAACGTTAAGTGCATTATCTCCCCCTTTCCCATTCCTTCTCTCTCTCCCTCCACCCCTCCCCCTCCCGCACACACACCCAAAACGTTGAACGATCTAATCAAGTTCCTGGACGGTTCTAGATACAATTGAGTGAACTATCCCCCCCCCCCCCCTTCATTCTCCTCCCCCTCCCACCCCGCCCACTCACACAAACACACACGTTGAGCTATCTAATCCGGTTCCTGGACGGTTCTAGATACCAGTCCTGCAGGTCTGGTCACCCCACCTGTCCTCAGGTAGCAGGTTCTCATAAGGTGGCAAGCTGGCCAACTCGTCTCTGACCTAGATTAGACAGATACAATTCATCTTCAACAACAGATACGTCTAGTGTTGCTTAATGACACTTACAAGCACTTAGGGAAGGGCAAGAATGCTGGGCTTTTAAAGGGAAGCTTACTTAAGAAATGTCGTCAAAGATTCTCAGCTAAAAAAGACGCCGAATATTCATTTATAATATGTTTTATTATTTCTCGGAAGTTCATTGTAAAATACGAATTTTATATAGTGTCTAAGAATAATTAGCTAATCGTAGGTTGTTTTTTTTTAATCGTTAATTTAAGTGACAGCTTATTTATGGTACAATCATATTAGAAGTGTCTATGATATTTTACTAATGTAGATATTATATCTGTGTGATATTCTACAGAAATAACCTACATATAAACTTTAATTTAGAACCGACATTATTTTTATTTATTAACTTATCATCAGCTTAAAATTAATTACTAAACGTAATGAAAAAAATAACGGATATTTCTTACTGAGATAATTAGGTGTATTTATTGTATTAAAACGAAAACATGTTTTTGCCAAAAAAATGTCCTGTCACTATATTCATACCACATTCAAACCACATTTATACCATATTCATACCACGTTAAAACTACGTTCACAACACATGCACACCACATTCATACCACGTTCACACCAGGTTCACACCACATTCACACCACATTCATACCACTTTCAAATCACATTCAAAACACATTCATACAACATTCATACCACATTTATACCACATTACCTTCTCAGCTTGCTTGAAGACCCTCACAAGATTGGCTCCTGCCAGCTTCTCCAGGTCAGCACTGGACCACCCCCTCCTAAGAAGCTCAGAGAACAGATCCGGGTACTTGGACACATCCTCCAGACCCACCGGAAGTCTGAGGACATTATTTTAATTGATCAATATATTCATAGACATTTAAAGACTGCATACAGATTGATGACTCAACATCACAACATTTGTAACCAGAATATGTTTCTTTGTTTGGCCAACAACTGTATTTTTTTCATTATACAAAGTAGATCCCCACTAATACCACGCTTACACTTGCGACATGTATATTATACAAGTCTAGAAGAAAGAAAAAGTTAAGTTAATAAATTAATTAATACGTTAATTTTATCAGAACACGTATACGGGGGGGGGGGAAGAAACTCATTTAAATGCGAAGTTTTTTTTCCTATATATATATATATATATATATATATATATATATATATATATATATATATATATATATATATATATATATATATATATAATACAAATGTAAACGCGGTGTAATACAAACTATAAAACTGGAATAGACAACACAAACGAGTCAAACGGATAAAAGCGACTTTAGTACCTTGTCACTCCGTCAAAATCCCCTCCGATACCCACGTGATCCGCGCCGATCTTGTTCTTGATGTGGTCAATGTGATCTGAAAGCCAGGTGAGTTAGAGGTCACGTGATTGTTTAATAAGATCAAACGTTAAAACAAGATTTGTCATTAATTAGGAAAGTTAAAAACGTAATGTGGTCAATTGAATTAGGCCATCATTGAAACGGGTCTATTATTCATTTATATGTGTTACAAGTTAGTGACTTCAATAGTTCGTTGACATGTGTATGTCATGTATGTCATGAGGTCACATGGCGAGGTCACACGGTACAGTACCTGCGACCTGCGACAGGGAAGCCACTTTGGAGCAATTGATGTAGTCCGAGTAGAAGTTGACCATGATCACCCCACCGTTTGTTTTCTGAAGACAACAAACAAAAGACGAATGATGTTGATTGAACTGATAGAAACTTACATGGTATCAACATAGCCGTATAAAAGGGTAGGGGTGTAGGTAGGGGTTGGTCAAGTGGAAGAGTTTCTGATTTTTTTCCCCGTATACATACACACACATATTATATATATATATATATATATATATATATATATATATATATATATATATATATATATATATATATATATATGCGCATGCGTGTACGTGTTCGTGCGTGCGTGCGTGATTCACTAATATAAAATATTACAACAAAGTACGACTTATGCAAAACCTTATGTATAATTCTAATAGCTAAAATATTCCACTGAATTCACATATTATTTAATCATCTGATTTATACAACTAAATAAACTACTGTAATATTGCCAACTGAATCATTTACATCGAACCTAACTGTAAAATACTCAAATCGAAATAACACGCTACATTAGGTTTTGTCAATACTGTGAACTGACTTATGCTGGAAAGTATTATACGCGGGATACAGTTATCTCTCTAGGTTAAAAGTTACATACTTAGTTATAATACATGAAATACAAAAAATAGGTAACTTTGTTGCAAAGTGATTTGACGTTATTAACGTTTTATTGCAACTCTCAAAACATTTTTTTTTTCTAAAGCTATAGTTACATTTAAAACAAAAAAAAACGCATTTAATTTTCTTCATTTCATGTGATGGAAGAACCCCTACAGGTATATTGTTTTTGTAAATTGTCGGATGGAAAAGAAGTAAGTGAAGGAAATCTACAACTGAGTTATAAATATGTAGGTAACGTGACCTAACCGCGATAAAAATAGACATCAAGACATGAGGGAAACAACTGCTAAAAACAAAGCCACTTGGAGGTGCGCACTACACTCTGCTTTATTTAAGATGGAGAGGGATTGATTCAGCTTCACGCCAAAGACAAAAGACAGCTAAATAAGTAAGAAAAATTGAAGAATCTATATATATAATTCTCTTCTGGGATCAGTTAGAAAACAAGCTGCAAGCGCCTCCTTGCAGTCCCCTCTCTTTATCTCTATCACTATCACTACCACCCCCACCCCACCCCCACATGATCTGGTGAGCGGTGTTCACTCTGTTTACATTTTACAATCATAGAGACTGGTTTGGTGACGGCTATTAGGGGCAGATAATTTAGTTTGAAACGATTTTAAACTTAGAGGAGGTAACTAAGAGGAGGCTGCTTTCACGTGAGGGGGGGGGGGGGGTAGTGTTTTTAAGCAAATATTTTCAATGGCAGCATTGGTACTGTCGAATTCACAAATTATAAATTACTGAAAAGTAGAAAAAAAAGTAGAAAAAAAAACCCAACTAAATAGCGGCGTATGATACGCAGCGGGTCGGCTCGTAAAATATAGTTTAACATCTTTTTACGTTCTCGTATATAGGCCTACAGATTATAGAGAAAGTATTGTAATCGTGCAAAAAAAATCGAGATTTTTATAAATATCGACGTGAGTCGGAAAAACATATTTTTGCAATCTTGTCCGTATATCTGTGTGTGTATGTGTGTATGTGTGTGTGCGTGTGTATGTATGTATGTCTGTAAACACGATAATTTGAGTACCGTTGCAGCTAGGTTGATGCAATTTCATATATGAGTATTATATCAAATGTTTAGATTCGTTTCAACTTTTGAGCGATTTCCGATAACCGAAAGTGGAACTTTTTCTACTTTTAATTTTTCAAAAGCCTATAACTTGAGCACTATTTTAGATAGATAAATGAAATTTCACATGCAATTAACAGATCTAATTTTCTGCCTTTTATCAAATTTTGAGCAATATCCGTTGACCGGAAGTAGTAATTTAGGCTATTTCCGATTTCTTAAAAAACGCGTGTCAATTTATAAAGTACTTATAATATTCAGCACTATTATACACATTTTATTTGGCGATCACTTGGTGTGCAATTTTTTTTTTTCTACGAGATTCTATTCTATTTTTAAAAGTTTAAATAATTAAAAATGGATATGAAATATTGTCTATAGTCTATATCCCGTGTTGCCATCCCCAGTAGTGTTAAATGAGAATATTCGAGAAAGTTTAGGGTAGGGGTCGGCAACCTTTTGAGAAGGAAGTGCCAAAATATGCAATGTACACAATTTACCAGTTTTTAAAGAGCCACAAACTTTTTTTTTCAATATTTAGGATTAGGTGTATATATATATATATATATATATATATATATATATATATATATATATATATATATATATATATATATATATATATATATATCTAATTTAATATTATTAATGAAATAATATTTATTCATATTTTTAAAAAACACAGATGTTTTGCACGAAACATATTATAGTATTTTAGCTTGCTCTGCTAGAATAATAAAATTAGTAATCATAAAATATAACAATAATCATTGAATATTTACATTAGTTACATCAATGGGAGCATTGACCTTGCATTCCGTTTGGTTTGTTTAAATCTGGCTCATAACTTCTTTTTTTAAGTTTCAAGCACGCCTCTAGATATTTTCTTGTTAGTTGGCGTCTTACTTAACTTTTATTATATTCATGTGGGAGAACTCTTGCTAGCACGAATATGTTGACCTATAGATCGTCAGCACTCCAGATGTCAACTTCTCCACGTTACTGTACCATCCTGCAAATCTATTCCATGCGTCACGTATGAGTGCCTTAACTCGCGATATTTCTTTCAGCTGTCCAGTTGTGCAGCGTAACGTGCATGTTTTACTGGACCTTCAACTATTTTTGCTTGCTCTTGAGTTCTGTGAATTTCCCGCTCCACAAATGAGTCGTTTTCAAATCCAGCAATTGTATTTGAAGCAAACCAGCATCAATTCCAAATAGCTCAAAGTTAATCTCATTTGTTTTTGTGTTGAGAGAGGCTACTATGAACGTCAGAGTACTTGCATTTTTTTTAATTGCTCAAATCTCTCAGTGAATCCATCCTTCGTTTTGTTTGTTGTAATGCTGAACAATTCATGCTAATAGTTGCATTGGTTTCTAGATATTTTTTTCAGATTTTTCGAAATCAAGTAATTTACCGCGTTCAGTGTCTTCAACAAAAAATGTATTTTTTTCGAAACATCCATTTCTAAAGCAAGGCATGGGTTGAGTTTTCCTTTCCTTGCAGTTTTACATTTAGCTCGTTTATTTTCTTTGTGATATCCACTATGAAGTTGAATGTTTCAATTCGGGATGAACAGTTTAATAGAAAGTACATTGGAAATAGGGAGTACCTAAATATTTTAATAGAATAGCGAATGTTTAATGTTTATGTTTATAGTTATATAATTTTTTACCGAGTGTTGCAGAACAATATTTTTATGAGTTTTGAAAATAAAATAAAATAATTATTAATATTTATGCATCTAGCCCAGAGGTCGGCAACCTGTGGCTCGCGAGCCGCATGCGGCTCTTTTTGGTGTCCAGTTGCGTCTCTTCAGCTCCATGCATAAATATTAATAATTATTTTATTTTATTTTCAAAACTCATAAAAATATTAGTCTGCAACACTCTGTAAAAAATGATATAACTATAAACATTAACATTCGCTATTCTATTAGAATATTTAGTTACTCCCTATCTCAATGTACTTCCTATTACATTGTCCATTCCGAATTGAAACATTCAACTTTAAGGTGGATATCACAAAGAAACTAAACGAGCAAAATGTAAAACTGCAAGGAAATGAAAACTCAACCCATGCCTTGCTTTAGAAATGGATGTTTCGAGAATCCCGGTTTATTTTTACACGCGACGCATAAAAATTTAAACTACAACAATGAATTGAGTGATGAGTAAATGTAATTACAACTATTTCATATTTATAGTATTTGTTTTGTTATATTTTTTAAGCTCTTCCAGTTAATTTTTTTCCATTTTTTAAAATTCACCTCATAGATACATGTCTAAATCGTGTTTCAAATTTTAAAATGTATTTATATTGTTACGAAATTATTAATTTTTCTTTTTTAAACAAAATTTTAACCGCCAAAGTTGGCGTAGTTAACTTTTTTTTTCTAAAGCTCTTATTAACTCCCTTTCGTCAGCCCAAATTTAGAAAACAAGGGGAAGGAATCTATACATAATTTACTGAGCAAAAATGAAGGGAGCACCGCAAAACAAGTATTCATATAGATAAGTTATTTGTTTGTGGCGCATAACAATGCAGGATGTAACATCATTAGAAAATCACTTTTGTTAATTGATTAAAAAAAAAAATTAAACTAAATTTGTTGCTACCAACCAAAAACATTAAATTTGTACCAAGTGATTATCAAACCTTTCAACGTAATTGTATTACTCAGTGGCATATACAAGTTAATAATACTAGTTTTTGGATACCTTTTTCAAAGGGACAAGTAAGTTAACCGTTATACTAGTGGTTCTTCGTCATTTTATATTTACCGAACCATACCTGCTTCATGAACACACTCATTGAACCCTTCTTAATAGAAATTTGTTTTCAAATTCAAAACATAGATAGATCTTTTTATTTTTCTGGTACATAGAATCAACCGTACATCTACATCATTGTTTTTTCAAGATGGCCGCTTTGTCGTGGCAACCATATTCTCAAAAGAGTGCCTGATGCTTGCACATATATTCCTTTAAGTACCCTAACTTCGATATACAGAAGCAAATATAAAACGTATTAAGAAGCTTATGTTTTTTCTGGCGCCTAACCCATTAAATATCTCACCACCAAAAGTAATCTCCAGAAAGGTCTCACCAACAACAAAATGACCTCAAATGACTGATCTCAGGGTCAAGATTTGAAATATCTCACCACCAAAAATAATCACCACAAAAGACTCACCAACAAGGAATGACCACCAGTTCAAGATTTGAAATATCTTATCACAACCAAAATCACAACAACCAACTCACCAACACGAAATGACCTTGAAATGACTCACCACCAAGGGCATGACCTCATCCCGCACGTTCCTGTTATGTGGACACAGGCTGTAGGCCGAGCTGTGGCTGAAGATGACAGGCGCCCTGGTCACGTTCAGGGCGTCCTTCATGGTAGCCACACTGACGTGTGAGAGGTCCACTAGCATGCCCAGACGGTTCATCTCCTTCACAACCACCTGGGGACATAACTCTATTCTAATACACGTTCAGCAGGCAATGTGTTTATTGTGTAAGCTATGTGGAGAAAGCTCACTTATTATACACGTTCAGCAGGCAATGTGTTTATTGTGGAAGCTATGGGAACAAAGCTCTCGTATTATAGACGTTCAACAGGGCATTGTGTTTATTGTTGAAACTATGCATACTTGTATTACTCTAATACAAATGATTTTATGACAGACTTTACCTCACCAAACTCGCTAAGGCCATTTAGATACGTCACGTTGCCGTTATCAACCATCCAATTATCGGCCCTAAAATAATAGAATATTATACATTGATATATATATATATATATATATATATATATATATATATATATATATATATATATATATATATATATATATACATATATGGGAGTGTTTATGTATCTCAACGTAAACCTATATAATCTATATATATAATTCTCTTCTTCGAGCCGTTAGAAAAAATAAAATACTTAAAAAAAACTTTTTAAAAAACCACGTTTTTCTTGTGGACTAAAAAGTAGAAAATAACTATTTACATACATTTGATGACAAAAAACGTGGGTACGTTCACCATCAAATTTCCCGACCCATCTGCCCGACCCACGTTTTTTGTCATCAAATGTATGTAAATAGTTATTTTCTACTTTTTAGTCCACAAGAAAAACGTGGTTTTTTAAAAAGTTTTTTTTAAGTATTTTATTTTCTCCTTTTTAGTCCGTTGCTACACATGAAAAACGTGGTTTTTAAAAAAGTTTTTTATATAGTTTATTTTCTACTTTATCTAATGACTTGATTAAGTATGAATTGACTAAGTGTTTATAAATACACGGACTAAAAAAATCTTGAGCGACCAGGATTCGAACCTGGGTTGTCGCGGCCACAACGCGAAGTACTAACCACTATACGATCACGGCCAGCGCGCTCACATCGATTGGGGCCGAAGTAACTGTGTCTATAAGCCTCCAGTCTTGTCGGTATCTTTAGAAATCATGTCCTCAATTTTATGGTCCTTGGGGCGTAATTAAATTAAGCTAATTACCGTCTCTAATTGCTAGTTTTTATGATTGCATCTGAAATTGTTAGGCGAAAGTAGCCTACATGCCAAATTTCAGATCTATTGAGCAATCAGAAGTGGGTTAATTTTCGATGTCAATTTTAACAACAAACACACGCGAAGCTGAGTTAATAAAAACGTGTTAACAAGCTGCAAACGCTCTCCCTACCTCCCCACCCCTACATGGTTTTAGTGAGCTGTGTTCACTCTAAATGTTTACAAGTAGAGCCAACGATTTTAAACGTAGGGGGGGGGGGGGGGGAGGAGGAGGGGGGGAGGGAAGGAAGGGGGGGGGGGGTTATGGTCCTTAACGAGCTACTTATAGTGTTTTAAAGAAATATTTTCAGTGTCAGCGTTGGTACTGTCGAATTCACAAATTATGAATTATTGAAAATTAGAAACAACTAAATAGCGGCGTATGTTATGCCGCGGGCCGGCTCGTCATAAATAATTTGCATAATGTACACCCTTAAAAATAAGTATAATGGTAATTGGTTATAATAAAAAAATACATAGATGCCTCAAATAAAACAAACTGTAAACAAAAGTACATACACAGCCAAATATGTGTCTGTGGGTACATTTTTATTTATCTACGACTTATTATATGTGTACGTCAAATTGCATGCGTACAAATAGAAACATATATTGATGCCATTAAAAAACCATGAAACTGACCAGGGTGTGTTACAGCTATGGGTCAAGGTCATGTACCGGACCCCCAGTTGATAGAACATCCTCAGGTTGCCCAGGCTGGAGTCGATGGAGTGACCTCCCTCTAAACCAATCAAACTGCCCACTTTGTTTTCCTTGTGGGCCTCCAATATCCCTGCACACACAAACATGCACTCTGTTTTAGTATAGTGTTCTCTCGTTTTTTAAGTGACTTTAGATCGTTGTATTTGTGTGATGCGGCGTTTTAAAATAGCGTTGGTCATTACAGCTATACATTACTTTAAAAAGAAATTAGCTGAGACAATAAATCCAAACATTGCAGTACATTTGATATGATTCTTAGGTAAAAAAATAAACTACGGTAGATCCTCTATATTTTATTTTCTTGTGTAACCGTACTTACCATCACTGGTGGTGACAAACTTGAACACATTTGGGTATCGCGCGACAAACTTTTTAATGGTATCGATTTGGTCCAGTGACTGAGTAACCGCGTCTTTGAACTGGCTCTTACATTCAACATAGGCGGCCCAGAACTGAATCAATACAGTATCGATTCACGACATTCAAAACAATACCATCAAATTAAAAAAAAAAAATTCTTAAAGCATCAACACTGTTATATTAACTATCTAAATATTTTTAAAAAAAAATAATGTGCTTTGAAGAATGGTATATTTACTACTTATTATAAACCAGTTGTAGAATAAAGATAGATGGTAGATAACTCACCTGTGCACCCAGTTGACCCTGCCTTATACGTGGTATATCCGTGTGGACTTCCGGCCAGTTATTCAGATCCACCTTCCATACCGAGTTGTTGACCAGGGTACGGTACTGCCAAGGGAGGTCATTATGCCTGGACAGGATAATGCGATATAATCATAGTTAACTCTCTTTGATGTATAGCGCTTGACGTAAAGAACGTGCTGTTGGCATTGCAGCCCACAACTATTCACATTTATTCGTAATTCAATACAGATACTAACAGGCTTATATGTTCTTGCATATAGAAAGAATTAGAAATCAAAGAGCAAGATCTTGGCATTTGGTTAAGAATAGCCTGAAGTTGCAAAATGGGTATATATATATATATATATATATATATATATATATATATATATATATATATATATGTACATATATGTGTGTGTATGTGTGTGTGTTTGTGTGTCTATGTGTGTCAGTGTGTGTGTGTGTTTGTGTGTTTGTGTGTGTCCTGTCTGTGTGTGTGTGTATGTAGGTGTGGGTGTTTGTGTGTGTGTGTGTGTGAGTGTGTGTATGTATGTGTTGTAAAAGACTCACCCGTCCACGAGTGGGTAGTTGGCTAGTATTTCCACGGCCCTCCGTTGTCGAGACTTGGGTGACGAGTCATCTTCCCGTAATCCCACGCCTAATCCCACTCCCAGTGCTAGGGCCAGCACGCCAACACCAACTACAGCTGCAACTGTTATCGACACCAATCGAAACATTGACACAACTATTATCGACATCAATCGAATAAACATAAACACAACTACTGTAGACATCAATCGAATAAACATTGACACAACCATTATCGACATCAATCAAATAAACATTGACACAATTGTTATTGACATCATGCGAATAAACATTGACACAACTGTTATTGACATCATGCGAATAAACATTGACACAACTATTGTTGACAAAAAACGAATAAACATTGATACAACGATCATTGACATCAATCGAATAAACATTGACACAACTGTTATTGACATCAAGCGAATAAACATTGACACAACAATTATTGGCACCAACCGAATAAACATTGACACAACTGTTATTGACACCAACCGAATAAACATTGACACAACTATATTTGACACCAAGCGAATAAACATTGACACAACTATTATTGACACCAAGCGATCATCATTAAGAAAAAATATTATCATCTTTAAGCTCACATATAATAGGTTAAAAACAATCGCTGTTTAAATTACATTTTAGAAAAATCAGTGTTTTCTGAATTTCCCGTGTCCAAAAAAATGCACAGTATGTGGTTTCCGTTGTAAGTGTTAGTCGGATTGATTGCAATTACAGGTTTAGTGTCAGGGTCATAGATTAGATTTTGTTAATCATCATCTTTTCCCGTTTGTGCCCAAGACATGTGAGTCTAATGAAGTAAAATGAAGTAGAGTTCATTTGTTTCAGCGATCTCGGGATATGAAGGGATAGCGTGGTCAGCTCTACGCCCAGCCAGCTTTTATTTTACCTAACGTAATTTAGGTACCCATCAGAGCCTGGTGAACCCAGGGAAGTTCTATTTGCTTGAACACTGATTCGAACTGGAGACTTTTGGTCGCAGTCTAGCGCTGTACAGCGTGCTGAGACTTTGGTAGTATTAAAATCAGGTAAATTAAAAGCGATTATATTAGTAAGGTAAATTGCTGTTTACCTAACTACTAGTAACCTAACACCCATGTTTTAAAAACATGCCAGTATAATGGTTATCGTACAATGTTGTATTATACGCTAATGAGTACGATCACTCTTTCGTTTGAAAGTTTAACCGTAAAAACTTATGTCGTTGATCTACATGTTAAATAGACATCGAATAGAGGATTACTTTTATAATAAAAACGAAGTATCCATGTGTATTTGAAGCTCATTAAACCCTTATACATTCAAACACTAAAATAATAAAAACACATAACAAATTGCATTAATACGTAATTGATTTGTGTGTGTGTGTGTGTGTTACTGTTATGATTTGCTAGTATGTGTACCATAATGCCTGCCCCTTACTCGTATCCCAACTCTACTTAACAGCAGAGGCGTAGCGAGCGTTGGGGGGGGGGGCGCACCGGGTGACACTCGACCTAGCTACGCCAGCGCCTAACAGCACTAGACAAATCACTTCATGACCCGTCTCTCCATCTTACTGCTGAGGAAGAGAATGATCTTGACTTACTGATCAACTTCCGCTTGTTGCACGCTGTGTAGGTGTTACCCAGTAGCACAGTGTTACTGGATGTGGGAACTACCATCTTGGTATCACGTGACTCGCTGGTACTTCCTGTTTACCTCAGTCTTACCTGGGAGAAAGCATTTTGAATAACAAGCAGTGTTTCTTTCAGGGGGGAACTTGTGACTTTCGGGGGGGGGGGGGGGGGCGGACACTAGTAAAAGTATATACTTTCTAAATTATTCTTTCAGGGGGGATGGGGGCAATAAACGTGCTTTTAGGGGGTAGGGATGCCTGGATTAAACAATGTGTTAATAAGTCATGAGACGATATGGTTGTATATATCGTATAAACATAATAAAATGGTAGACATTATGTTATCAAGGGAAGGGGGTTGGAATATAAACGTCAGAGTGGGAGGCACTTGAATCTTTCATTGTGGGGCAAGTATGTATTAGTATAAAAACTGCCCTAAGGGTCCATAGATAGGTGGAGTATAGCTCATCTGTTTCCGTGATCTCAGCATGTAATTGGAGAGTGTGGTCAGCATTATGCCCAGCCGTCTTTTGCCATCGTCTTCGTGAGTTAGGTACTCATCAGACCTGGAAAGACTCACGGGCGTTTCCAGGACACGATCATCGGATTTAAAGAAACATAATTTAAAAAAAAAGTATAAGTATAGTTTAAGTATATATTTTATACTGCTATTTCTGTTTTACTGCGTGTGGTTGGGGCGAACGGGGGAGGGGGGAGGAGGCGATGGACGTGCCTACTATAAGATATATGTCTGAAAGAAATACTGCACATTTATATGTAAGTACACACATAAGCAGGCTCACACATGCACACCAAAGCACGCTGGTAAATATGAACTCATTAATTTTGGTACCAGTAATGTCGTTGGTGTCTGTTCTTATCCCTTTACCAGGTCAGCTATTATTAAACGCAGTACACAATTGGGGGTGTAATGGGAATATAGGCACCGACTTGGATAAGAGCCTAGTAGTTAAGAGACACCTTGATGTTTCATTTTGCCGGTGCGTGTCACATTTATATTCATATATATTTATAATCATCAGCAAATTATAATCTACTCGTTGCCATAACTACAGCTTGAAGCTTTAGCATTAGTTTTTTGTTGTTGTTTTTTTTTTTGCCATTAGACTATGCCGCATTTAAAATTATAATTCTTTATGTGACATAGACAGAAGATAAAGCCATTAGACTAGTAAAATGTCAAGGTAAACTGACACTTGAGTGTTGTGACTTGGATAGGTTTTAGAATTTTTGGAGTAACGTATTCTATAAGTACTACAACGTAAACTGTTGTACATTCTTGATATGTACAATGTACATGTGTATTAGTGAAGGCTAGACCTTCATTCTCAAACACATAGATAAAAAAGATTGCAAATACAGGCCTACATCTATACAAACACACATGTATATGAATATGTTGATGTTTCTACCTATACAAACATACGTGTATATGTAAATGTTAATGTTTAATATATATATATATATATATATATATATATATATATATATATATATATATATATATATATATATATATATATATATATATATATGAATACATAATGTGCATATATAATAGTTAAATACTTACCCTCATGTACACAAATCTTTACTGTATCTTAAGAGCCCAGTCCGCGAAGGTGTGCTATTAACACTGTTAGCAACACTGACAAAGATCCTGGAGTAGACTAGCTAGAGCAAACAATAGTCCTGTGTTTACAAACCGGTGAATTGAAAACAAAACACGCTCGCCTGCTTTCAATGGTGTATTTTGACGCGGAAGGAAGAAAATGGATACTGCGCACCGACATGCGCACATGGGTGAAATCGATACGAAATTTTTTAAAAATTATACAGTGGTACACAGGGTTATAAATGTCTAAGTTCAGCCAACATGTTGAATAGACATAACCCTCTATGTATTCTTAGGTTACATTCGAGGCAGCTATGGTAAGTAGTAATACAAGAGAGGGAACTCTTATAGAATTATAACGATCAAGTATCCTCCCTTTAATTCTATTCGAAAGGCTAAGTCATGCTTTTGACCGCCTCCTATGTCCAACAGGAAATGGTCAAGCACGGCTAAGAGCCCTTAGGTTTGAACCCTAGTCCTCAGCGTTTAAAGGGCTCACACTTCAACCTGACTAAGGTCCATCGTAGAATGTGTAAGTAAGTTTCCCTTTCAAACCTGACGGTCTATGGGGCAAGTGAAGTAGAGTTCACTTGTTTCTAGCATGTGTACATTTGTTTAAATATTTATTTTCTACGTGAAATATATGCTATAGGTTATACACTGATTATCAAACTTTAACCGGTGCATAGATTAAGTATCGGGACAAATTATTGTTCTCAACAAATAAATACTTACAACAATTTCTGGTCTGCAGAAGCGAAAATCACGACAAATTACACAAACACGCCACTTTTGTCTTAGCTATATTTGACCTCAAAACAAACCCGCGAACAAGCTACACGTACGTTTTAGAAACACATTCATACCTGTTCAGCACATTCCAGCACTAACTTCACAATGAACCTGTCCACGGACAGTGACGAACAGCACATGTTATAAATTGATTACGAATTCATTAAGGAATGTGACAAGCCCTTAATTAGCTTATCATATGCGCCGGCGTGTATGTTAATTGTTTCACATGTCTTCAACCCGTGTCCAACAAATGTAGGACTTGTCGTTTCAGATAGTTACAAGACATCGAAACTTACACAGGTCAGTTTTAGTCAAAAGAAAATGATACCATACACATATGTACTGGTTTTTTTTTAAAATTACTTCTATTGTGTTTCGACATCCAACGGTTGCTTCTGAAGTTAGCTGACACTGTTATGAACATTCCATAGCTTGCTTTTGAAGCTGACTTCTAACGATAGCGTTTAACATTTATAATTCCGACACATATTTTAGTTGTCCATGACAATAAAACTACTTTATATGAGACGACTTGGTGTGGACAAAAATAAGATTACTTTTTCGACAACTAGCTTCTTCAAATATCCTTTAGAACTTATTATACCCAGTGGCGTCTCTAGGTCGGGTGATAATCGTTGCGGGTGCCACCCCCTTCGTCAAGCACTTTATTTATTATGTATTAAAACTATTGAAAATTCGGTGTGAATAGTATACATCTGTGTTTAATGACGTATACTCCCTTAGTAATATAACAATATCAACTCTCTGGGGAAAAGCTGTCTTCCTCAATAAACTTAGAATTTTTTTTTTAAATTTAGGTTTTACCCTTTGAAAGGTGTCACCCGGTGCCGACCGCAACCATATCCTTCACGCTCCCCCCCCCCCCCCCCCCCCCGCCGTTACTTAAATGATATTGTACATTTATGTTGAAAATAGTATTAAAATATTAAAATATCATTACCAAACAAAGAATATAAAAATGCAGGACACATTATGGCATCAACAGTAATCAACATATGCCTGTTACTAAGATAAACACATTTTTATTTTCAACAACATACCTACCTATCTCTCGCTTATCACATGGTTAAATATCTTCAGCGTTATAGCTTTAATGCTACCATTATATATGGCGTGTGGTTAACATAACGAAGGCATAAATAAACATCCTGTTTTTCCTCAAATATAACCCTGCCAATGTTTATTTATGCAAAATATTTTAAAACGAACAACTAGGTAGTGATAGTTATACAGCTGTTGTAAAAAGATCATTAGCATTTATAAGCTGTAACTTGTATTTACGGTTCGATGGCCAAGTACTGTTTTTTAAACATGAAGTAGTGAGGTCGAGGTGGTTCATGTATTATTTATGGAATGTTACGTGCAGTGGGGGGGGGGGGGCACTTTAAATTTTCGGAGGTGCAGTACACTTTCTTCGGGGGGCGGACACTGTTAAAAGTATATATTTTCTATATAAATTTCATTTCGTTCGGGGGGGGGGGGGGGGGGATTTCTTCGGGGGTGGGGGGGGGGGCCCGAAGTGATGTCTGGAAGAAACTCTGGTTATGTGCGTGAAGTTGATTGGGATAGTATGAAGGTGGGTGATATAATAATTGTGACGTAAATAAGTAACATTCAAGGTAAGACAATATATTGTGTACGTGCTAGAGCAGAGGAATATTGAAATTGGCGCTCGTATCTGATAGTAAAAAATAATATTGCATTCTTCCGGATTCCTTAAAGCAATAAAAATTAAGACTAAAATTTCAAGACATAAAAAAAGAACGATCTCTAGTTCCCAATGTCTGGATAAAGATTATTCACTTTACTCACTATTATACTGTAGAAAGATCATGTGTTAAATATATGTCTCTGGAAAGATCATTCGCTAAATATATGTATGTAGATAGATCATTCGTTAAATATGTCTATGGAAAGATCATTTGTTAACTATGTCCTTGAAGATCATTCGTTAAATATATGTCCCTGGACAGATCATTCGTTCAATATATCCATGGAAAGATCATTCGTTAAAAATATGTCTCTGGAAAGATCATTCGTTATATATGTCACTGGAATGATCATTCCCTAAATATGTGTTTCTGGAAAGATCATTCGTTAAATATATGTCTCTGGAAAGATCATTCGTTAAATATGACCCTAGAAAGATCATTCGTTAAATAGAGGTGTCTGAAAAGATCATTCTTTAAATATATGTCAGTGAAAGATCATTTTTTAATATGTCCATGAAAAGATCATTCGTTAAATATATGTGTTTGGAAAAGATTATTCGTTAAATATATGTGTTTGGAAAAGATCACCATATCGCGTTTCTCAAAATACTCCAGGCATGTACACTGGTAAGTTCTTCAACAGATTCGATCTAGATGTAAAAAGTCTTCGTGGCTGCAGTTGGTTTTTGTAGGATATGTGACTAAGGTCTTTGTGTAAAGTAACGTTCCCTTTTCAAACATGACTGTCTATAGGGCAAGTGAGTAGAATTCTCCTGTTTCTGTGACCTCGGCATATGAGGAGATAGTGTGGTCAGCACTATGCCCAGCCGCCTGTACTTTTCCTAACATCAGTTAGGTACACATCAGAGTTGGGAGGACTCAGGGACGGTCTACTGACTTTAACCCAGATTCGAACTCGAGACTTACTGGTTAGCAATCCAGCTCTCTACCGCTAGACGCTACAAATAAAAACCCAGCAGGACTATGTGTAAATGAAAGCCGGTGTCCTAGCTGATTATGATTATATACGGGGGAGAAATCGTCAAGCCTTCCTTGGCTGTTTTAAAACACTTTCTCAATAGAATGGATAAACGCTGCACATTAGAGCTTCTACTAGTTATTTGTTCTAACTTGAGCCAAAAAGGAGAAGAGAACAGTGTAGGGTATGTTTACGAAACGAAATTTAAGAGGTTACTGTATAAGAGGGTTGTCCGTATTGAATACAGCTGACTCAAACTGGACATGAACTGGGTTTCATTAGATTGAAACTGCTTGACAATCAGGTAAGAGGGATTAGTATTTAGCCAAGTAAAGTTAACTAGTCGGCATTTAACGGATACACTCCTAGGCGATACGGTTGATGAAGCACTTGAAACAAAAAATTGAAATCATAACTCACCACAAACTGACACAACCCCCCCCCCCCCTGTTGAATACGTAGAAGGGCTTGGATTAATTAAATCAAAAATGTTAATATCGATATTTATCAAAAGATGTATTAATATTTTGAAATTGTTTTAGTAATACCCTTCAATCGTAATTGGAGCCAAAATTTAATGTTAATACTGATAGGATGAGCTAAGAAGAATTAAATGTGTTCATTTTTATTTGGATTAATCTTAAAATATCTTTAAAGTTTTTAACTTTTCTTGACTTGCTAGGTTTTAAAAATTTTCACTTTTATATTCATTTACATAACATTTTTTATAAACGATTTGTTAGTACAAAGAATTACTATAATTTACACAATCAAATATAGCTAGTTTGATGTTTTCTTTGTTAAATATAATAACAGCAACTTAGTTTTACGTTACCTCCCCTGGAATTGTTTATTCTGTTTAACAACGGGGGATAATTATTAAAATACAGATTAGACCTCGGGAAAAATAAAACGAACTTTACTTAGAAATTATATATATATATATATATATATATATATATATATATATATATATATATATATATATATATATATATATATATATATATATATATATATATATATATATATATATATATATATATATATATATATATATATATATGTATATATATATATATATACTAAAATAAAATAATACTACACCCCCTATTTAGGTGAACTTTACTCATTGGAAATTGTCAACACAAACACAAACGTCACATGGAAAACACAAAGATATATATATATATATATATATATATAACACTGGTCAAACAACAACTACAACACGCAGAAAATGTTGCGGCTAACACTATAAAAGCTTGTACCAGCTACCAAGGTAGTTTGCCAAAGGAACTATGGATCCCATCCAACATCTTTTCTTAGATAAAATTAGAGAGTACCGTTCAAGATCTAAACGTGGTGAGTTAGTTGATGTCACAGCAGAATCTGAAGCCGCCTTACAGGAAATGCTAGGTAATCTGGAGAGGGCGTACGGATCTAAAGTTGTGGATAAGACCCAGTTTCCCAAATTGCAGTTTTCAGAACCCACTATTGCTTGGCCCGGGCTGAGTGATGAGCAGAAAGCCAACATTGATCAAGCAGTTAAAGCTGAAGAAGCAGAACAGAAAATAGCTGCCGAGGAAGAAGAGGAAGGTGATGGTGATGAAGAACTTCTTAAACTTTAAGAAGTTTAATTTTAGAATATTTTCAGTTTCCTTTTTTTTTTACAAGCTTTTATTCAACTTGCTTCCTCTGTCGTCAGTCGTCAGTCTGTCTAGATCGAAACGCTGGAGTGAAAATTCGGACACTTCTACTTGACCGATACGATTCACAGTTGGCACGTGGGTCAAGACATGAAGACAATGCAATCTGAAACTAAATTTGACTAAATTGGATGCCTTATTAATTTTTTTATGAATTAATTAAAATTTGGACCGAATTAGTAGGCATGTCTATCCAACGACACCACACGCGTCATCACGGTCAATAGCTGCGCCATCACGTTCAATGGCTGCGCCATCACGTTCAATAGACGCGCAATGGTTTTTAGTCATGTAACACTATCTATATATATAACGAGCCGACCCGCTGCCACTGAAAATATTTGCTTTAAAATACTACCCCCCCCCCCTTTCCCCTAACCCTGACCCTACACCCCCCCCCCCCCCGTGAAAGCAGTCTCCTCTTAGTTATTTCTTAGTTACCTCCTGTAAGTTTAAAATCGAACTAAATTATCTGCCCCTAATAGAAACCCGGCTGTACGGCTCTACGATTTGTAAACATTTAGCTTTGTACACATTTAGAGTGAACACCGCTCACCAGACAATTATATATATAGATAATTCTCTTCTGGGAGCCGTTAGAAAACAAGCTGCAAGCGCCTCCTTGCAGTCCCTTCTCTTTCTCTCTATCACTATCACTACCACCCCCACCCCACCCCCACATTGTCTGGTGAGCTGTGGTCACGCAGTTTACATTTTACAATCATAGAGACGGGTTTGGTGACGGCTATTAGGGGCAGATAATTTAGTTTGAAACGATTTTAAACTTAGAGAAGGTAACTAAGAGGAGGCTGCTTTCACGTGGGGGGGGGGGGGGGGTTTAGTGTTTTTAAGCAAATATTTTCAGTGGCAGCATTGGTACTGTCGAATTCACAAATTATAAATTACTGAAAAGTAGAAAAAAAAAACAACTAAATAGCGGCGTATGATATGCCGCGGGTCGGCTCATATATATAATTCTCTTCTGGGAGCCGTTAGAAAACAAGCTGCAAGCGCGCCTTACAGTCCCCTCTCTTCTTCTCTATCGCTACCACCCCCCCACCCCCACCCCCTCACATGGTATGGTGAGCTGTGGTTCACGCTGTTTACATTTTACAATCATGGAGACGGTTTGGTGACGGCTATTAGGGGCAGATAATTTAGTTTGAAACGATTTAAAACTTAGAGGAGGTAACTAAGAGGAGGCTGCTTTCACGTGGGGGGGGGGGGGGGGGGAGGGGGGTTTAGTGTTTTTAAGCAAATATTTTCAGTGGCAGCATTGGTACTGTCGAATTCACAAATTATAAATTACTGAAAAGTAGAAAAAAAAAAACTAAATAGCGGCGTATGATACGCAGCGGGTCGGCTCGTTGTAAATAAAACATGTAAAGTACTGGAAAAAAAAATTCATAAACAACGTTTTAATAACAAGCTTTTATCTACTAATGCACTAAAAAGTAGAAAATAAATTATACACTACTATTTATATTACTATAAAGAAAAGCGTGGGTGTTTTCTGAAATATTAGTAAAGGTATCCAATAAATACTAAAGTACTAAAGTGACTCACGCTTTTCTTTATAGTAATTTAAATAGTAGTCTATAATTTATTTTCTACTTTTTAGTGCATAAGTACATAAAAGCTTGTTATTAAAACGTTTTTTATGAATTTTTTTTTTAGGATTACGAGCTGTACAACATTAAATAATTTGTGGATATCAGAATAATTTAAAATGAATGCGAAAAAAAAAAAAAACAACAACAACAACAACAAAAAGTATAATGAAATGGGCTAGAGTTAAAGAGTAAAAAAATAATAAGACGAATAGGCGAATTCTATGGTAAGAAAATCGAATTAATAAAAAAACAAACGCTTCATTGTAAATTCTACAAAATAGTTTAACTGTTATGTACATAGTGCATCAAATATGACACAGACAGAAACGCCGACATCAAAGTTTAGGTGGTTGTAGTATACTGTGACATTCATGAAGATTCATTATGTAGTTACTTTTCATATTAATATAGACATCAATTAAAAATATAGATTTATTTTGAAACTATGATTAAAAATATAATTACATTACGATTTTCAGAAATCGATTAACCAATAAATTAACAATTTAAAAAAAAAAAACCCAATACAAACCAATAATGATGGTCTAAATTGTATTGTAAATGTACATGTATATTATGAAATTTAATCAACGATGATGATGATAATGTGTGTTATTTTAATTAATACAGAAACAATTCTCTGGTTTGACCATTACTTTAGAGCTATAAGAAAATATATTCCATGATTCGTGTTTATCTTTTTTTTTTCATTCGCAAGCTGTTTAGTATAGCAGAGATTTAAGTAAAAAAAAACCATACAGATTACATAACATATTTTGCATGATATATGAAAGATTGGTGCACTATGTTTAAAAGTCTACAAACGTAAACCATTATGAAACTTAAAATATACAAATATTTTTTTTAGTTACCATTTTATACTTATAAATAGTTATAGTTCTACCGACACGTAATGAATATTAGATCCGGTTTTCAAAAATAGAGTATACTTATAAATATTTATTTTAACCAGTTTATTAATGAATTAGTTCAGATTTTTGAAAACACATTTTCTAGTTATACCACTGATGAAAATTTGTTTTGCGCATATATAACAATGAGTGAGTAAAAAAATGTGTAACTTATTTTTAACATTGTTATAAAAGTTACATTATAACAACAAATTAGATGCATTATGTTGTACATATCATACGTCACAGTTCTAGAATGAAGTTCATTTGCAAGTCATTTGATTTGGTCGTCAAAAATGGTTGCAAACCACTGTCAGTGGTACTTTTAAAATGCTTACTGTGAAGCATACACAACATACACATTTCCAATATACACAAACGTAACCAGCATAAATATACGTCATCAGCATACACAGACCTCACCAGCATACACAGACGTCAACAGCATACACAGACGTCAACATTTTCACAATATTTCACTCAACCCAGCGTTAGCACACTCAAACGCCATAATACAACAGTAAACACATCATTACCCAGTTATAAATAATATACCAACTTACATGGTAAAAATTTCATATGCAAACATGACCAGCCATTAACATCACACCAGTATACGCCAGCATACACCAGTGTACACCAGCAACATGAGGTAGCACTCCAAGATATGCTAACCACATGATTTCCATGAATGGGATTAATCCCAAAAGAAAATAACACTCAATATAAACCTTTAGCGTAGAACTGATGCTCTGTATTATATACTTGTTTTTTCCCGTCGTATTTCTTAATGACATTACATTTGGAGGAATGACAGCTGTAGAAGAAACAGAAGCATTCGGAATATCGTGGACCCAACTTGGATGAATCGCCCCGAACAGAGTACGATGGAGATCTGGGGTTGCGTTCCTATGCTCAACAAGAGGTCCACAGAAATGATAATGATGAATGTATGCGCAGAATAGAATCGGAATGATGTCTGCTCACAAAGAATTACCTTGTAAGCACATATGCGTATGTATATGTGGTCAGAATATGCACTTTTCTACATGTAGGGGCCTACATACGCACTTGTCTGTATGCAATGGCATCACCTTTCCACGGCTAGGCTAACCACTAACATCCTTGAACAGCAGTCTACAAGTTGACTTATGGTCAAACCTCGGTGTGTGTGTTCGCGTCATAAAATGTGTGGTCTCCATCGGTCACGTTGACGGGTCCAGTGTACGAGTACTTGAAAGAAAAATAAAACGTACACACAACTATTTACAATACAATAATGTTCATTTCAACATTTATTTTTTCAACTTAAAAAATACGCAAAATAATAAAATAATAAAATGTTACACATTAATACGTGTATAATTTCCCCCCCCCCCCCCCCCTTAAAGTAATTATTTAAATTTAAGGTCGTGCATTGCTTCTAAGAAAACGAAATAGTACGTAAAGAACAATAGCTTATCTTCTCGATACCGTAGCACTATTGATATATCACTGACAACGAGTGTGTGTTTACAAACATTGTGACGAGGGGGGTGTTAACATATTACATGCGGAGCCCAGCGGATATTGTTAAAGGTGATACAAGACAACAAGAAAGACTTGCAGGTAGAATACAATGGACAGTGCACAGTCTTGAAAGTGCATGAAATAATATCATCCTGTATTCCAACCCCCCCCCCCCCCTCAATCCTCCATATAAACAAAGATGTTTCCAAATAAGTTGTATGACTCAATGATGCCTCCACCCCTCCACCCCCCCCCAACTATATACACCTTAAAATTCCCAAAGCAAATTTTATGACTCTTTGAGTTCCCCCCCCCCCCCCCCAACAAAACTATATAAACATTGACATCCCCAGGTAAGTTGCCTGACTTTTGCTGATATTGACATCCCCATTTAAGTATAAGGATGTATTGTTATCGCCCCCCCCCCCACTTAAAATAGGTACAGTGACATCACCAAGTAAGTTGCATGACTTATTGCTGACCCCCCCCCCTTCTATATACACCTTGACATCCCCCAGGTAAGTTGCATGACCTATAACAGACCACCCAACTCACCGTTAAAGAGTTCGTAGATCGCCGCCTTGTTCCGTTGGAGGATCTCTTATCAATATCGTTAGAACCTTTCAGCGACAATCTGGCTTTTGTCCTCATGGATGTGCCCAGTGACGTCTGGTATGACGAGGAGAAAACAAATGGGTCCTAGCTACATGTGTTCATTAAATAAATGAGCCCTAGCCATATGTGTTCATTAAACAAATGAGCCCTAGCCATATGTGTTCTTTAAACAAATGAGCCCTAGCCATATGTGTTCTTTAAACAAATGAGCCCTAGCCATATGTGTTCTTTAAACAAATGAGCCCTAGCCATATGTGTTCTTTAAACAAATGAGCCCTAGCCATATGTGTTCTTTAAACAAATGAGCCCTAGCCATATGTGTTCTTTAAACAAATGAGCCCTAGCCATATGTGTTCTTTAAACAAATGAGCCCTAGCCATATGTGTTCTTTAAAAAAATGAGCCCTAGCCATATGTGTTCATTAAACAAATAAGCCTAAACCATATGTGTTCATTTAACTAACAAACCACAGCCATTAGGTAAATAAGCCCCAACCATATGTGTTCATTAAGCAAACACGCCCTAGCCATATGTATTCAGTTAGCTAACACGCCCCAGCCATATGTATTCATTAAGCAAACACGCCCTAGCCGTATGTATTCAGTTAGCTAACACTCCCCAGCCATATGTGTTCATTAAGCAAACACGCCCCAGCCATATGTGTTCATTAAGCAAACACACCCTAGCCATATATATTCAGTTAGCTAACACGCCCTAGCCATATGTGTTAATTAAGCAAACACGCCATAGCCATATGTGTTCAGTTAGCTAACACGCCCTAGCCATATGTGTTCAGTTAGCCAACACGCCCTAGCCATATGTATTCAGTTAGCAAACATAACCTTAACATAGCCGCCAGCTCACTTAGTACAGCGGGTAGGGGCTATCTGAGCCCACCCCCACTGTTGTAAATATTAAAATATATGATATATTGTTTTTTATCTGCTTTGCTTCGACGAAACATGAATTTCCTCGCTAAATCTCGTAATTACTAATCTGCAACCTAATAGAAAATAAACACTAAACATCACAATGAAAAATGAACACCACTTATCATGTTAGTTTATAGTAGGTAGTTTAAACAGAGTTTCTTCCAGGCATCTCTTCGGGGGGGGGCGAAGCCCCCCCGAAAAATTTTTTACCGCCCCCCCCCCCCCCGAACGAAATGAAATTCATATAATTTATATAGATAATATATACTTTTAACAGTGTCCGCCCCCCCCGAAGAAAGTTTACCGCCCCCCCCCCCCGAAGATTTCAAGTGCCCCCCCGGAGAAAAAAGTCTGGAAGAAACACTGAGTTTAAACACTAACAAAAAAGTAATTAAGACACTGAACAGGCGTATTTTACACACTGACCAAGAAGTAATGGACAACGACATGTTTTTGACAATGACCAAAAAGATGTGACACACATAAAAAATGAATAAAAATCTCAATACCAACATTTACCCTCGACTTGTGGGCGTCCATCTTAGCCTTGTAGACGAACTCGATGGCGGCGGAAATGACGGCGATGACGAGCCCGCCAATCAGAATATAGAAGATACCCGCCACGTTGGCCAAGGTCAAGGCACTTTGTGCACTGTCCGATTTTGAGGTGTACTGAGGGCATTCACCCCGGTCAAACCAGAACTTCTCCCATTTGGCCAAGTTCCCGTTCTCACGGAACTCTAGCACTCGCAGATTCAAGATGTCTCTAGTTGGTAATAAAAGTCTACATTAGTTATATAGGCCCGACACATTTTATTCAAACAAAGTCGGAAGGGTAATATTACGGGACCAATATATTGATTCAACACTTCACTTGTGAAACAAAATTACAGATTCAGACATAAACGCAGTTAAAAATTGCTAAGAGCGGTAGCGTAGCGATGGGGGTGCGGGGGGCATATGTCCCCGGGCGACGACCTCAGGGGGCGCCAAAATGGGTTGGAAAATTAAATTTGAAAGGTTGAGGGGGGTGCAAATCGAAAGTTTGAGGGGGAGGGTGCAAATTGAAATCTTGAGGGGGGGGGTGCAAATCGAAAGTTTGAGGGGGGGGTGCAAATCGAAATCTTGAGGGGGGGGGGGGTGCAAATCGAAACGTGTGTCCCCGGGCGCCAAAAGGGTCGCTACGCCTCTGGCTAAGAGAAAAACACTTACATTATTTAAGTCTGATAAGTGCAGTTAAATTATTATACATTATAACTTAGTCTTAAATCTTAAACTACATGCGGGCACACATTTACCTCAATTGTGTAACTATATGTCCGTATCTTACATTTTTATATTCTAAGTTCATATACATGTACTTTATGGGATAGATCGGGCACACCCCGGAAAAGAAATAAAACAACATCGGTAAGCAAGTGTTTGACTCCAGGCGAAAGAAAAGGCAGGCGGCTTAAAAACATACTGGGGAAGGACAGTGGAAGTAGAAGCAATGGCTGTTGGGATTACATGGGCTAAGCTAAAGAGAGCAGCCGCTAACATTGTTCGGTGTAGAGGTGTGGCTGCGGCCATTTGCTACTCAGGGGTTTTAAAGCAATACGTCTACTTAAATGTACTTCAAACGTGAAAGTATATGAGTACACAGATTTACCATTAATTTGAACCTACAAAATAAAATTACCTCAAATCTGATCCTACAGGCGCAAACAAAATTACCCCAAGTCTGATCCTACAGGTGTAAACAAAATTACCTCAAGTCCGATCCTACAGGTGTAAACAAAATTACCTCAAATCTGATCCTACAGGTGTACCTATGCCGAAACCTTCAGAATTCAGGTTATTGCCTATCTTCAGCGTGTCACAAGGCTTCTTGTTGCTGATGTAGTCAATGGTTGCCGACTCGGTGAGGTAGGCAAACTTGCCGTTGGACGACCGGACCCGTCTGATGCCTTCTTCATGGTTGGTCACAAAAACTGACGGAGTGGCTGACGTCATGTACGCCCACATACGCTGGTAGGTTTGGTACTGGGAGTTCTGTGGGTGGCGATGGTAGAGGTGGGGTGGAAGTGGTGGGGATGGTAGTGGTGGTGGTGGTGGTAGTGGCGGTGATTGTAGTGGTGGTAGTGGTGGGGGATGGTAGTGGTGGGGTGGTGGTGGTAGTGGTGGGAGTGGTAGTGGTGGTAGATGGTAGTGGTGGGGGATGGTAGTGGTGGGGAATGGTAGTGGCGGGGGGAAGTGGTGGAGATGGTAGGGGTGGTAGTGTTAGTGGTAGGGTATTGTTGGGGTGGTAGTGGTGGGGGTGGTAGTGGTGGGGTGGTAGTGGTGGGGGTGGTAGTGGTGGGGGGATGGTAGTGGTGGGGGAGGAAGTGGTGGGGATGGTAGGGGTGGTAGTGTTAGTGGTAGGGTATTGTTGGGGTGGAAGTGGTGGGGTGGTAGTGGTGGGGGTGGTAGTGGTGGGGGTGGTAGTGGTGGGGGGATGGTAGTGGTGGGGGAGGAAGTGGTGGGGATGGTAGAGGTGGTAGTGTCAGTGGTAGGGTATTGTTGGGTGGTAGTGGTGGGGTGGTAGTGGTAGGGTTGTAGTGGTTCGGGTGGTAGTGGTTGGGGTGGTATGGGTGGGGAAGGTATGGGTGTGGATGGTTGTGATGATAGTCGGTATGGATGGTAGTGGTGGGTATGGAATGGGTGGGGTTGGTATGGGTGGTGATGGTATGGGTTGCGATAGTTTAAGTGGGGATGGTTGTGATGGGGATATTAGTGATGGGGATGGTAGTGATGCCGATGGTATGGGTGGGGATGGTAGTGGTGGGTATGGAATGGGTGGGGTTGGTATGGGTGGTGATGGTATGGGTGGGGATAGTAGCGGTGGGGATGGTAGTGGCGGGTATGGAATGGGTTGTAAGTTAGAGGCAGAGACGAGAGAAAATAGTTTTTAAATATAGACTACACTTAGCTACTCTACTCTTTTGGGATGTAGTCTCAGAGATATTTACACTTCGGACAATACTTATTTCAAACAACAGACCCTCATTCCGGTATTTGAAAATGTGTGGTGTATAATGTTTCTGTTTTATCTTTAACTAGCGTACCCGTCCCCCGCGCGTTGCCGCGGGGATAGAATAAAGTCTGACAAAATATATTAGAAGGATATCGCCAATGCTTTACCAATCATATGTTCTTAGACGCATCACCTTGTTTTCTAAAACTGTGTTATTTAAATGTCAACATTGCCTGCGCTTGGATAATAATTATCGGGACACGGGCTTTCCTACACTACCGCATGAAAATCTTGAGTGTATATTAATCACTCACCGAAATAATTAGGTAGAACACACTTCAGTGACCACCCATATGTCAGGGACGTAGAGGGGCGCTCTCAGGAGCCCCCCCCCCACCCCACCCCCCAATTACACTACCGTAGAGGCGCAGCGTAAGGCCCCTGGCTCCTTAAAACTAACAAGGCGCCATCGTGCTCATAGGATAACCCAGCGTGCCAAATAGCATACAATGATGCAGATTTCGTCATTCGCTAAAGTGACACAAATGAACAGGAATTTTTTCTTTAACACATACAAAAATTATTTGACGTGTTTTAAACATCAGTTCGACTGATGCAATATGCTAGCGTTACTAATGGTCTATTATTAGATGCTCGGTCTCAATTTCGGCCTGGATCGTCTAATAATAGATGCTTATTGCATCATTCGCAAAGTGACGAAACTCTATAGTAGGTTCCTCATATTCAAACAGTTATTTTTTCATCTTTCGCAAGGTGACGAAACTGTACAGGATTTCCTCGCGTTACAAAGTTATTTTTAGAAGCCTGTTGTAGTTTTACCGCTGAATATAGTAGTACCCCTTACTCGCTATGCAGGACGCTCGATTAACGGATGCCAAGGGCCAACTTAGTCGCTCTAAAACTCTCGGCGCCAAACCGTGTATTGACGAAAGTTGTACCCTATATGGCGCCGCCCGTAAGAAACTTTAGTTTTCTTTTTCGCAGAAATATTCTCGGGAGTATTCTCATCTACTTCCTAAAGTTTCTTGGTACTCGGATGAACCGCATCCGAGTTTTATTTTTTATATACCGTATATAGAGAAACAAAATCGCTCCCCCCCTCCGGTGGTGCGCCGCCCTTGCAATATTAAACAATATTTTTTACAGAACCCTACCATTGAGTGATCTAATCATCTCCCCAAAGTTTCTTGGTACACAGATGAACGGTGTGAAAACGAAAAAAAAACGAAATTTTATAAACCGTATATAGAGAAAAATCGCAGCCGCCCGTGGCGCCGCCCTTGCGAAATTAATAAAGTTTTTTTTTTACAGAACCCTTCCCTGAATTGTTCTAATAAACTCCCCCAAAGTCTCATGGCTATCGGATAACGGTGTCACACCAAAATCGACTTATTTTATAAACCGTATATAGAGAAAAATCGCACACTCCCGTGGCGCCGCCCTTGCGAAATTATAAATTATTGTTTACAGAACCCTTCTCTAGAGTTTTATAATGAACTCCCCAAAGTCTCATGCCTATCGGATAAACGGTGTCACGGCAATTCACTTTTATTATTTTTATATACTGTACATAGAGAAAAATCGCACCCTCCCGTGGCGCCGCCCTTGCGAAAATAAAAATGATTTTTGTACAGAACCCTTCCCTAGAGTGTTCTAATCAACTACCCAAACTTTCATGCCTATCGGATAAACAGTGTGAAATCAAAATAGACTTTTATTTTTATATACCGTAAATAGAGAAACATCGGACCCTCCACTGGCGCCGCCCTTGCGAAAGTAAAAATTATTTTTTTACAGAACCCTTCCCTAGAGTGGTATAATGAACTCCCCAAAGTCTCATGGCTATCGGATGAACAGTGGGAAATCAAAATAGACTTTTATTTTTATATACCGTATATAGAGAAAAACAAATCGCGCCCGGCCGGGGCGCCACCCCTGCGAATTTGAATTTTTTTTTTTCGCAGAAACCTCCCCAGGAATATTCTCAACAACTTCCCAAAGTTTCACGGCGATGTGATGAGAGGTGTAGTAATGCATAAAGGACACACAGACACACACACACACACAGACATACATTGCTTTTTATATATATAGATAGATAGATAGATAGATGGAAAACAAAAATAATCCACTAATGACAAGTGGATTATTTTAATGACAAAACTAGTGTAATCGAACGTATGCGGGTAGGTCTAATTAATATTTTAAAATTGCGTTTTAAATGTATTGTTTAGGTTTAGTTTATGTATATATAGCAACTGTTGCACTATTTAACAATAAAAACCGTAAAAAAAAGGAAAAGTAGCCATATATATATATATATATATATATATATATATATATATATATATGCTATACATGCATTAGTGTAAAATAGCCATAACATGTAGATAGCCGTACAGGTAGCCTTATAATCAACACACCGATACAAATAACCATAGTGTACCTTGAAGAACGATTGGGTACTCCCAGAATCCAGCGTTCCGTACTGTATTTCCGTCTGTTTGGCCAGGTCCTCTGCGGATTCGATGGGCGTCAACATCCGTTCGACTGTGAGGAAGGCGGCCAGGTTGGCGGTGTAGGAGGAGATGACGATGAGGGTGAAGAACCACCAGACGGACCCCACTATTCTTCCTGACAGGGACCTGGCACGTTTAAACATTGATGGTATCATTTGATTGGCCATTGTTTGTGTCACGTGTCTCAACAAAATAAAAATAATAAAAATAATAACTATACAACTAAAGCTCGTTCAAAATTGTTTTTTTTTATTTATTAAAAATAAATAATTAAATTATATAAATAATTTGTTGTGTTTTTAAAGATATAAATTTATATTGTATGTAATTCTTTTGAAAACATAAGGCACGACTCGTAAAAACATACAAAAGCAGGTTTAAAAAGTGTACATTTATTGTGCAATTTTGGTGCTGTTGTAGTATGGTTTTAGTAAGTTAAGTTTACATTACACTTGTATTTAAATTGTGCATTAATGTGTGTTTACTGATGGCTTTGGTTTAGCCACCAAGGACTTATGTGTTAGGGTTGGGGTTGTCCAAAAAAAAAACACTTGACAATACAACAGAAACACCTAAACGTAGATGTGGCATTGTAAGCTTATTTGACTCAATTTGCTTTAATATTTACAAGTCGAATGTGTTACTTAGGTACGAGCAAACTTTATAATAAAAACTTACTTAAGAATAATATTAGCAAGTATACATACATAATTTAAGTCTATATTTTTTTTACTAACTTATGAAGCGATACCTTTGTTGTGAGAAACTTATTTAGGTGTGATAATTTTGTGTTTACTAACTTATGAAGCGATACCTTTGTTGTGAGAAACTTATTTAGGTGTGATAATTTTGTGTTGGGAGACTTACATACAGGGCCGGCGCTACCTATAAGGTGGACTAGGCGGTCGCCTAGGGCGCCATCACTAGTGGGCGCAAAATGTTTAATCGCTATTATCAAAAAGTACCTAAACTAATAATTAATACATTTTTAAAGGAGTAGCGATCTATTTCGGCACCCAGGACGAACTATCAATTTTGCACCCCCACCCTAAAATTAGGTCTATATAGGCCTATATTATTCGCGATGGTGAAAATGCAACCCCACATCCCTAATTTGGAAAGGTCGAGGCGCTTTTTACCAGTCTTTTTAATTGGGTGTCACATAATTGATGTAGAAAACGATTAAATAAGTTCGTAGTTCAAATTTCGAACATTTTAATGGGGCTTGTAAGTCTCATTTTCTCTGACTTTGAATTAGAAATCTGTATTGGTGTATAGAGTTTTGTAATGAGGGGGTGTTCAAAGTACTGTACTTGTTTGGTAAGCTTTGATGACTCGTTTAGATTTGGGAGTAACGGCAAAAGGCTGTTGCTGATATGGTTTCGTAGATATAAAGTATCCAGTGTTAAAGTATCGAATAATCGAATTATATTGACTGTTAAAGTGTAGTAGTAGGTCCAGTGAAATCGTTGTTGTTTGGGAGTACCGTTTGTAGAGCTTGGTGAAGTTGGTGTCGTAGTTCTGGAGGATCGAGTCTAGTTATGTTTAGGTATCGACGTTTGATATGTGTTGTGAATGTAGTAGAGTACATCGAGTAGTCGAGTTTATCGTAAGTTAGAGTATTTCAATTCGTGGCGGAACACACTACAAAGAAACGTAGGCGTTCTCTAGTTGAAAAATCAAGTTTTTATTATGAATCTATATTACCACTCTTAAAGTATTAACATTTATTAAATAGTATGGAATTTGTAACTAACCGTAAACTTTGTATTTTTAAATAATTTTTGTTTAATATTTATTCAATAATTCTAGCAATGTCTAAAAATTTTTCCGTGTTTGATATTTTGAAAGACATCCCCTTCTTTAGGGGATCCAAAATTTCTTTATAATTCTCTTTAAAATGATAACTAATGCAATATGTCATCAAAATTGACTAGAAGTATGTTTTAATAAAGCTAACGTTTTTAGACTTTCAAACTAAACCTCCAGTTAAGTAATCAATAGGTAAAATATATTATTTTGACAAGATTACACAGTTAATTAAAACAATTGTTATAATTATTGTGTAATGAAATTTAAAGCGTTTTGTTCTGTTGTTCAAACATGTCTTAGTTAAACTTGGTTAATCTAGCAATTCTTGTGAACGTTATTTCCCTTGAATAAAATGTTGTTATTTTGATTTTCAAATGGGAGATAATTCGTTGCTTAACTTTACATTCTTTTTCAAATTCCTACACCTTAGGTTGTCTGCTTACATACAAATAGAACTTTAAGTTATTATTTGGTACTAAAAATTATGTAGAGCTGTTCTAAACAAAATAGTTTGGTATTTTTTTTTAGCATTATCAAGTTGAAAAACAAATACATCAGTAGCCGTTGTAGATTGCAATACGTAATGCAAGTAGACATACAGTCTTAGTCGTAAATTAAACATCTAATTATTTGTCTTTTCATATTTTTCACCCTCTCCTAAGGGATTCATATATAACATTTTTACGCTGGAATTTATAACATTTATAACCTTTTTTTTTCAAAAACAAAAAATTCGTTATATAATCACTCAATAGAGACATTTACAATTATAACTAAAGACAGTCAAGCTTAAAACAGGTAAGTTCCGTTTTGGAACTCACCTTGGGAGGACTGCAGAGAGTCCTACACTACAAGAACTTTTTTTTTCCAGTGTTTTTTTCAGACCCGACCCCCCCCCCTCCCCCAGGGGTAATAATTATAACAATTCTTTTTTATTAGCTTTGTAATCTTGTGAAAACAATATATTTTACCTAATGAATACCTAACTGGGAATCCGGGAGAGGGGAAGCACTTAAAATTGTCTAAGGGGGGGGGGGCTATGTCGTAAAGTACAAAGTAGACTCGCAACAATTTCAATAAAATGTGATTACGCTTGCAAACTGTAATTGAAAGAATTAGTACAAACTTTTACGACGAAGGAGGCAAGTAAAATTTGATTTTGATGTCTACTTATAACGTGTATGCTATTGATAATAAATTATTATGTCACTTTTAATGAATTGTTTTCTTATACATATGTTTTAGTAATTATATTGTGTGAAAGGTGGCGTTTTAATAAGTTTTGCATAGGGCGCTAAATAACCTGGCGCCGGCACTGCTTACATAGGAGTGATAATTTTATGTTGGGCGACTTACATAGGGGCGATAATTTTTGTGTAGACAAGCTTACTTAGGGGCGATAATTTTTGAGTAGACAAGCTTACATAGGGGCGATAATTTTGTGCAGACAAGCTTACTTAGGGGCGATAATTTTGTGTAGACAAACTTACTTAGGGGCGATAATTTTGTGTAGACAAACTTACTTAGGGGCGATATCACATCCTTGCTGCATGAACGCGCCCAGTGAGAACCAGAGTGAGTTGGAAATGGTGAACTCGTTGAGAAGATGTGAGGGCTTCTCTATGATTAGTCCTTCGTTTTGACTGGAATTAGAAAGCAGCCTAAAGATTTAATGTATCAAAGTGGAGCAAAGCTATACCTGAATTATGTATAATAAATTTTATATATATATATATATATATATATATATATATATATATATATATATATATATATATATATATATATATATATATATATTAAAGTGTAATAATATTAAAGTATAATAAAGTTTAAATAATTCTTATAATTATCATAATCTAAATATTATACGTTAAGGTAATACATGAAATCACAATCTTATTATGCATAAATTTAAAATTAATACGTGTTGTGATTATTTAATTTAAGATGGTTTAAGAAAACCAGCACTGGTTTTGTGAAGCTAGGTTTGATTTGTTTTTTTGCAAATTAGTTAACAACATACTGGTTTCCTTCTAGTAAAAGGGAGTCTACTCAGGTTATAAGCATAAAAGCAAATTACATCGATTGTCGTTCTTGGGTGACTGAGGCCATTAGAAATGTATCATTGGAAACTTAAATGTACACTTTTCAATCAAAGCGCAGCGTTATTTTGAAAACAAAACATAAGGAATGTGTACCTACTAAACCTACTAACTATAAACCTACCCAAATATAATAACTAAAACTTAGCTGAACCTACATGCTATAAACTTTCTGACCCTACTGATACTGAATATAAACCTACTTGAATACAATCACTGTGACATTATCTCAATCTACTGACTACAGTATTACATAAACTTATTGAGTATAAACCTACCTGAACCTAATGACATGATTTGAACCTACTTAACCTACAGACACGATATAAACCTATTGAGTAGATATATACCTTACCTGAACCTACTGACCACATTTAAACCTACCTAAACCTACTGCCCAGCTACAAACGTACCTGAACCTACTGACCACAAGTAAACCTACCTGAACCTTCTGACCACAAACAAACCTACCTAAACCTACTGACAAGATGTACAACTACCTGAACCTACTAACCAGATGTTAACCTAACCAAACCTACTGAACACATATAAACCCACTTGAACCTTCTAACTACAAATAAACCTACCTGAACCTACTGACCAGATGTAAAACTACCTGAACCTACTGAGTAGATATAAACCTACCTGAACCTACTGAGTAGATATAAACCTACCTGAACCTACTGACCAGATGTACACCTACCTAAACCTACTGACCAGCTATAAACCTACCTGAACCTACTGAACACAACAAAACCTACTTGAACCTACTGACCAGAAATAAACCTACCTGAACCTACTGACCAGAAAGAGCACCACACTGACACCAATGTAAGCGAAGACGATACACATCCAGATCTCTGACGACAGCGGCTCCATGAAGGAGAAGAAATGTTTGCCCGGGGGCGTGGGTCTTTTGATCATGATCGAGATGCCCATACTCATGAACGGTTTGGTGAAATCGATCACACGCGACCGATCGGCCGTGATCGTGAACGGTGCTATGGCCATGTCCGCTTCCTGAAACATAAATTTGTATTTTTACAACGTTCGTAATCACGCATGCGCATGCCAAGTTTTAAACATTACTTCCTTTTTATCAATTCAACTTTAAAAACGTTTGTTGAGTTCTCACATAGCTATGTTTATTCACATTACAATCACCCAGTTGGGATTGGAGCTCAGAATAATAAGGTAAACGACAACCATACACGATACATCACCAGTGTTTCTTCCAGACTTTTTTTTTTCTCCGGGGGGGCACTTGAAATTTTCGGGGGGGGGGGGGGGGGGGCGGTAAACTTTCTTCGGGGGGGGGGGGGTAGACACTGTTAAAAGTATATATTTTCTACATAAATTATATAAATTTCATTTCGTTCGGAGGGGGGGGGGGGCGGTAAAAAATTTGCGGGGGGGGGGCTAAGCCCCCCCCTGAAGAGATGCCTGAAAGAAACTTTGTACATCACAAACACGAGCGTTTTAATAAAGAACAATCTAGCAAATCTACTTCATTAATATCTGCTTTGGTTTACTGTGAACCAGGATATTTTAGATTTAGACTCATCTTTGCTTACATAAGTGTGACAATTATATCCGTAACGACAGGCTAGACAACACTGACAAATAGTTTCATGTTTCTTCTTCGTTCTAAATTTTAGTGTTGGAAGGGATCCCACCCAATATAATTAAGATTACGTGTTAACTGGTTTTGTGCCATTGACTCTGATATCAGCCTGTTTTTCTATTTGGATTGGCTTCCATGGTCTTTATTCAAACAAGAACAAAGTATAAGGCAGCAGTTATTTGATTTTGAAGTTATCTTTCATAGAAGAGTGGCTGTCCCCAGCTAACAAGCCTCATCTGCCCGAGGGTTCGAACTCAAGACTTTTCGGTTTAGCATTTGTAGCTTTTAAAGATCGCTTATTCAATCCCGTGACTAAGTAACACACCAACCTTCCCGTATCTATCCAACTCATATCCTATAGCAATCTACAACTACCAAATGACACTAAAACACATATTTCAACTATTTTTTACCCCACTACTGAATTCCTAAGCTAACCAGATATCCCATAAAAACACAAACAATTGTATTTCGGATGATCTATATTTCATATTTTTTACCAGCTCTCAAGATTCCCCATATCCCATAAAATAACGTTTCAATTCGCCCTACTCATTCTATTACACATACTCTAGTGTCTGATCAGCTCTTCTCTCATCCCATCTATCATAAATTGTAGTTTCCTCTCAGGTGTCCACTCATCCCATTTCTGACCAAATCTCTACTCAAGCCATACCATCTACACACATGCATGTGACTAACTCTCCACTCATCTCATATCCCAAACACGCACGTGTCTGATCAGCTCTCCACACATCCCATATCCCATGAACTCACGTGTCTGATGAGCTCCCCAACCATCCCATCCCACGTCCCATTATTTGAGTGTAGAGCGCCGTAACGGTTGTCCTTGACTAGCTCGATCCGGTAGTCGAATCCAACCTGAAAGGTCAAGGTTACTGTGAGTTAAAAAAATATTCAACTTACGACTCGGTAGTCGAATCCAACCTGAAAGGTCAAGGTTAATCAGTACAAATAAAATAAACTCAAGATCCGGTAGTCGAATCCAACCTGAAAGGTCAAGGTCACTGTGATTTTCTTTTAAATATTAAAACTCAAATATTTTAAAATGCACGAACATGATTTTTTTACGAATCTTTAAGGAATTGCACGCAAATTACAATGTTGTGATTTTTTGCTCTTTTAAAATAAATCAATATTTTGTAATGCTTCGGATGACAGGCGCATATGCTTCGTAGCATCTTTACATGATAATATTATACGATCTCTGCTTTATGCAAAAAAGGAGTCATTTTAAGACAACGTTTCCGTCGTATTCAGAGTTTCTTCCAGGCATCTCCCGAACGAAATGAAATTTATATAATTTATATAGAAAATATATACTTTTAACAGAAAGTTTACCGCCCCCCCGAAGATTTCAAGTGCCCCCCCCCCCCCCCCCGGAGAAAAAAGTCTGGAAGAAACACTGGTCGTATTTCACCACGCTTTGATCTTTTTTTAAAAAAAAATCCTAGTCTTTTCTTTAGTTGTGAGAGGAACTTGATTGTTTGATAAAATTGTAAAATTGTTGAAATCTAGTTTTAAAAGTTGGGGAAATAGGAATTTGTTTGGCACATTAATCTATAGCAGAGTTTCGGATGCCTAGACTTTTCAGACCATGCATGTATACTAAATAGGGAGGGGTGGGGGTCTTAAACACAATTAGTGACGCAAAACGTTTTTTTTTTCTATTTTGTTATATATATATATATATATATATATATATATATATATATATATATATATATATATATATATATATATATATATATAAGAAACGGTTATAACCATGTAAATACTTTTAAAAAGCGAACCTTTGTGAAGTCATGTTATGAGAAGTTTCACTTTATTTTGACGACTTCTGAAGAAAGGTTAGTTTAGATGAAATGTGTCTAAAATTAGGTTATGTCAATCCAGGACGACATATATTTAAAGAAAAATATATCTAGTTTATCCATAGAACATAATTATACATTTTATAATTTTATAAATTATAAAAATAAATACATTGATCATCACCTCTTTAGCAATAGCCTTGGTTAGGTCTATACAGAAGCCTTCCAGTAGTTCAACTTGGGTCAGTGGAGCTCCATCTGGTGGTCGTTTGATCCTCATAACATACGGGTCTTTCTGAAACAGATACACAGATAATACAGTGGGAAACATTAGTCTTTATGAAACAGATACACAGATAATACAGTGGGGAACATACGGGTCTTTCTGAAACAGATAAAAAGATAATACAGTGGGAAACATTAGTCTTTCTGAAACAGATACACGGATAATACAGTGGGAAACATAAACGGTCTTTCTGAGACAGATACACAGATAATACAGTAAGAAATATCAGTATTTTGGGAATAGATACAGATTAATATAATGAGAAACATCAGTCTTTCAGAAACAGATGCACATATAATACAATATGAAATATCAGTCTTTGGGGAATTGATACAGAAGTAAATGACGTTATTTGCATGGAAATGGAAATGACAATATAAAAGTGAAAAAACGACGTTCTCGGCTTCTAGTCGTAAAATTGCAAAAAATATTTAAATTCGGTAACATTGTATAAGGTCCTATAAATCAGAGCTTTTGAATATTAAAAGATGTTTATTCAACCAGTCATTATGATAATGTGTTTATCTTTGTTCAATCAGGATTTTAATTTATGAGCCTCAAATTTCTTCTAACTTTTAAATGTGTTTTTCATAAACTTCATTATTTGATATTTAGCATAAATGTATACAACGTATGCTCAACCGCAGTGAAGAAAGACGTACCAAAATAGTCGTGACGATGCGCGTCCTGTTGACGTCATTACTCTCGTGGTCCCTCACCAGACGAGGCGTCTGCACGTGCAGCCTGCGGTCACGCTCACTCCAGTAGCCAATCTGTCAGGTGAGTCAAATATATCGATTTGTGTGCAATCTGACAGGTGAGTCAAATATATCGATTTGTGTTCAATCTGACAGGTGAGTCAAATATATCGATTTGTGTGTAATCTGACAGGTGAGTCAAATATATCGATTTGTGTGTAATCTGACAGGTGAGTCAAATATATCGATTTGTGTGTAATCTGACAGGTGAGTCAAATATATCGATTTGTGTGCAATCTGACAGGTGAGTTAAATATATCGATTTGTGTGGAATCTGACAGGTGAGTCAAATATATCGATTTGTGTGCAATCTGACAGGTGAGTTAAATATATCGATTTGTGTGTAATCTGACAGGTGAGTCAAATATATCGATTTGTGTGCAGTCTGACAGGTGAGTCAAATATATCGATTTGTGTTCAATCTAACAGGTGAGTCAAATATATCGATTTGTGTTCAATCTGACAGGTGAGTCAAATATATCGATTTGTGTGTAATCTGACAGGTGAGTCAAATATATCGATTTGTGTGTAATCTGACAGGTGAGTCAAATATATCGATTTGTGTTCAATCTGACAGGTGAGTCAAATATATCGATTTGTGTGTAATCTGACAGGTGAGTCAAATATATCGATTTGTGTGTAATCTGACAGGTGAGTCAAATATATCGATTTGTGTGCAATCTGACAGGTGAGTTAAATATATCGATTTGTGTGTAATCTGACAGGTGAGTCAAATATATCGATTTGTGTGCAATCTGACAGGTGAGTTAAATATATCGATTTGTGTGTAATCTGACAGGTGAGTCAAATATATCGATTTGTGTGCAGTCTGACAGGTGAGTCAAATATATCGATTTGTGCGCAATCTGACAGGTGAGTCAAATATATCGATTTGTGTGTAATCTGACAGGTGAGTCAAATATATCGATTTGTGTGTAATCTGACAGGTGAGTCAAATATATCGATTTGTGTGTAATCTGACAGGTGAGTCAAATATATCGATTTGTGTGTAATCTGACAGGTGAGTCAAATATATCGATTTGTGTGTAATCTGACAGGTGAGTCAAATATATCGATTTGTGTGTAATCTGACAGGTGAGTCAAATATATCGATTTGTGTGTAATCTGACAGGTGAGTCAAATATATCGATTTGTGTGTAATCTGACAGGTGGGTCAAATATATCGATTTGTGTTCAATCTGACAGGTGTGTCAAATATATCGATTTGTGTTCAATCTGACAGGTGAGTCAAATATATCGATTTGTGTGTAATCTGACAGGTGAGTCAAATATATCGATTTGTGTTCAATCTGACAGGTAAGTCAAATATATCGATTTGTGTACAATCTGACAGGCGAGTCAAATATATCGATTTGTGTACAATCTGACAGGCGAGTCAAATATATCTATTTGTGTGCAATCTGACAGTAGAGTCAAATATATCGATTTGTGTATACATGTTATGGCAAACTGAAACTAGATCGTTAGCACGACTATATATACAAGTGTCAGTAACTTAGTTTACAAGGGACAAAGATAAGTGGAAGCTACAAGAAAGTATCTGGAGACGACGTCACAAAATAGAGAGGACTAGCACTGTGAGAAGTAAAGACGATGGTGGTTGGCAGATTAAAATGGCGTTCTAATGGTCGACTTAGACTTGACAAAAAGAAGTAGAATTTTTTTTTTACAGTAAGAAGTTGCTGTAATTATATTAGATTTTAGTTTTTAACGAACCGTTATGCTAATGATGACCTGAGTTCCTTTCAGACAGGTGGGGAGAAGTGGTGGGGGCGGGTTTGGTGTAGCCCACAAACAGTGTTTCTTCCAGACTTTTTTCTCCGGGGGGGGCACTTGAAATTTTCGGGGGGGCGGTAAACTTTCTTCGGGGGGGGGGGGGGGTGGCGGACACTGTTAAAAGTATATATTTTCTATATAAATTATATAAATTTCATTTCGTTCGGGGGGGCGGTAAAAAATTTTCGGGGGGGGCTTAGCCCCCCCGAAGAGATGCCTGGAAGAAACTCTGCCCACAAATCACGTCCACAGCCCCCACCCCACCCGAACAAACTATAAAATGCATACAAAATATATAATTCTATCAGTTTCTTACCTCCCCTAAGTCCGCCTCCCTACCCAAAAGTTTAAAATGCCCTTCCCTGAGAAAAAAGTCTGAAAGAAACCCTGATGGTGACCTGACCTACCTTGGCTGTGCCTCTTGTCATGGCTATGTTGTAGACGTCTAAAACAAAGTCCTTGCGCTGTCCCAGGTCATTGAAGGCGACGTGACCAGTGATACCTTCAAACCTGGTCTGGTAGCAAATATTGTGTTACCGTTAAATATGCATGGTTGACTCAGTGTGTATCAAAATAATCAAAGTATCAAACATTAATCAAACATCGAGAACATTACTGCATATATAAAACGCAAATGAAAAATAGTAAATGTATATCTGTGATAGAGGTATTTGATAACGGTTATTTTTTTAAGTCCTACACCTTATTTTTATTTTTTTTTATTTTATTGACGATTGCATTTCCATTTGTTTATTTTGTTTTCTGTTTTTTTCTTTTATCTTACACAACGTCTTTGTTTTTTAATTAGGAAAAAATAATACAGCAAAAAAAAAGCAACCTTAACCTAGGTTTAATGAAGGTAGATAACAAAGATAAATGATACACACGTGGATACATAGCAATTGTATCCCTTAATTATTTGTAAGCAAAATGCCGCGTCCATGTTATCAGCTAACCATGCAGCTAACAAGGCCAATATACACAGCTAATCACGCCGAAATACACAGTTCTATGTACACAGCTAGCTACGCTCATGCACTGAATTAACAACGTCCGTCTAAAATACAGCCACGCTATATTCATGTACTGAGCTAACCACGCCCATGTACTTAGTTAACCTCGCCTATGTGCCATGTATACATCTGGGTAAGTCCATTTCCTCAAATAAACTCAGCTTGCCACGCCCATTTACCTATCCAACCACGCCCATGTACTCAGGTAGCCACGCTCATGTACCTATCTAGCCACGCCCATGTACTCAGGTAGCCACGCCCAAGTACCCACCCTCTTCATTTCCTCCAGCAGAACGTCGCCGTACACGGTGCGAACCTCCGAGTCATCAGTGCACCTGAGCGGCCTCTCGTGTTGGTTCTGGTGAGACCTGTGTAGGAAGTTTGGCTCCCTCTTTAGCAGTGAGGCCAGCGCTCGTCTAAACAGCCGGACAGAGTCGGCAGCCAACGCAGCCTCGTACTGAAACATTAATGATAACATTTATGGTAACATTAATGATAACATTAATGATAACATTAATGATAACATTAGTGATAACCTTAATGATAACATTAATGATAACATGAATGATAACATGAATGATAACATGAATGATAACATGAATGATAACATGAATGATAACATGAATGATAACATGAATGATAACATGAATGATAACATTAATGATAACATTAATTATTGCATTAATGATAACATTAATGATAAAATTAATCATAACATTAATCATAACATTAATCATAACATTAATGATAAAATTTATGACAACATTAATGATAACATTTTTTTGTTTTTAAACTGTTAATACTAGTGTCCAGTAAATAAATATAGCATATTTTTAAAATATCCATCTAGGCCAAATACTCACATTGATATTCCTGCTCGCATTTACTCCCATATACCCACATTGATGTTCCTAATTCCATAACCCATATATACACATTGATATTACTGTTGCCATATAATCACATTGATATTCCAGCTCCCATAACCCATATAAAAAAGTAAAGTTCCCTTTTCAAACATGACGGTCTATGGGGCAAGTGAATTAGAGTTCACTTTCTTCTGTGACCTCGGCATATGAAGAGATAGTGTGGTCAGCACTATGCCCAGCCGCCTTTACTTTCCCTAACGTGTGTTAGGTACCCATCAGAGTTGTGTGGACTCAGGGACGGTCTACTGACTTGAACCCGATTCGAACTCGAGACTTACGGGTTAGCAGTCCAGCTCTCTACCGTTAGACCACTCCGTCCCTATAACCCATATACTCTCATTGATGATCCTGCTCCCATATACTCACATTGATATTCCTGCTCCCATAACCCATATACTCACATTAATATTCCTGCTCCCATAACCCGTATACTCACATTGATATTCCTGCTCCCATAACCCATATACTCACGTTGATATTCCTGCTCCAATATACTCACGTTGATATTCCTGCTCCCATATACTCACGTTGATATTCCTGCTCCCATATACTCACATTGATATTCCTGCTCCCCGCCCCAGGCCAGGCTAGAGGGTCCAGATTTGACCATTTGGACAGAAAAATATCAGCAGTCGAGTTGTTGGCGTCCACAAGTTGGAAGCCTGTGATGTTGACACCTCCAATTTTAAAGTGGCTCAGGTTCATCTCTAGCATGCTCTGGAACCAGAAGGGATAGGGGAGAGTTTGTTACTGGGGATCATAAGAGATGGGGAGAGTTTGCTACTAGGGATCATAAGAGATGGGGAGAGTTTGCTACTAGGGATCATAAGGGATGGGGAGAGTTTGTTAATGGGGATCACAAGGGATGGGGAGAGTTTGTTACTGGGGATCATAAGGGATTTGGAGAGTTTGTTACTGGGGACCATAAGGGATGGGGAGAGTTTGTTACTGGGGACCATAAGGGATGGGGAGAGTTTGTTACTGGGGATCATAAGGGATGGGGAGAGTTTGTTACTGGGGACCATAAGGGATGGGGAGAGTTTGTTACTGGGGACCATAAGGGATGGGGAGAGTTTGCTACTAGGGATCATAAGGGATGGGGAGAGTTTGTTACTGGGGATCATAAGGGATGGGGAGAGTTTGTTAATGGGTAAGACGGGGTAGAGATAGTTTGTTAATGAGAACTAGCAGGCTGTCACTTTTAACTAACTTGGCCTTCAGCATAGATCAGCCAACACTGGAAGTCATATTCGATATATATATATATACATATATATATATATATATATATATATATATATATATATATATATATATATATATATATATATATATATATATATATATATATATATATATATATATATATATATATATATATATATATATATATATATATATATATATATAACGCTTTAAATATATAGGCCTACTTTACTGCAATGTATTGTTCTAGGAACGAAAGTTTAGAACACAGAATACCATGTGATCAAATAACTTACAAAATCTCCTACAAGGAAGTGTAGCTTCCCCTTATTCACTGAGGAGTCCTGCATCTGTAACATTAAATATTACATCTCATTGACATGTGACATTTGACATTCAATATTAGCTACATGTGACATTGGACGTTTATACTCTGTTGGCATTTGGCGTCCGACAAAATTGTTTATCCGTGGAATGGGCAATTTGGCATTTATATTTATGTTGTATATGACATTTCGGATATACAAGATTGAGCAGTGAATTATATTCAAATTATTTATACTTGAATTTGTATAAACTATATCTATAGCCATATGATAGAAAATAGCACACTCGAGAGTCAAATGTTGAGTAATTTAACTGGTCATTTCACTTCTAACTCCTAAAATTTACTTCAAAACTCATCAAATGCTGTGAAACGTTGAGTAATTTAACAGATCATTTGGGTTTCTAACTCACGAAATTTCCTTCAAACCTGATCAAATACTTTAGACATCAGCTGTCGGTCTAAACCACGGGTTCCCAACCTGGGGGTCGCGACCCCCCTGGGGGTCGCGAAGGTCTTTCTGGGGGGTCGCCAACTGGTATACTAAACCTTATTAATTTGAAACAAAACATAAATATTTAGGAGAATTTTTGAAATTCGGCTTCATTAACATCACTGGAAATGGAATAGAGAAATAGCAATGCGTTATGTACAAAGTTGTTCTCAGTCACGAATCTATGAAATCTTCAAAACTAAAACGTCATTTGAGACGAGTCATTCGGAACACACCAAAAAATATATGGAGTTCTTTCGTCGATAAGAAGCTAGTTGCAAACGCTAGAGACTTGATCGAAAGGAAGTTTTCACCAGCATTAGTGCAAGCATCAAATGAAGTCGCGATAGAAAATGCCAAGCAAAAAAAAAAAAAAAAAAAAAACAATAGGAGAAAATCTCATCAAACGCTGCATGTACGTAAATGTTAAATAACACATTTTTATTGAAATTAAGCTTTCACTATTGTCTGCTTTTCAAGTTGATAAATCAACAGACGTGAGTTCGTGTTCGCAGTTGCTGGTCTGTGTCGATATTCATGCGGATGATGGCAAAGATAAAAGAGTTGCTCTTTTGTGGAGATAGCATGGAGAAAATAAATATCCTTTTTGGAACTGGATGATTAAAATGGGTTAGAACGGCTGTGGGGGTTTGTACGGATGGTGCGCCATCTATGTTTAGCTCAAAATCGGGCTTTCAGAAAACAGAAAAGATTTAGCTCCCTAACCACTGCCCTAACCAATCGACATCAAGAGCCCATTGCTAGTATAAGTCGTAAATTATATAAAACGAGCCGACCCACGGTGTATCATACGCCGCTATTTAGTTGTTGTTTTTTCTACTTTTCAGTAATTCATAATTTGTGAATTCGACAGTACCAATGCTGCCACTGAAAATATTTGCTTTAAAACACTACCCCCCCCCCCCCCCGTGGAAGCAGCCTCCTCTTAGTTACCTCCTCTAAGTTTAAAATCGTTTCAAACTAAATTATCTGCCCCTAATAGCCGTCACCAAACCCGTCTCTATGATTGTAAAATGTAAACAGAGTGAACACCGCTCACCAGATCATGTGGGGGTGGGGTGGTATTGATAGTGATAGAGAGGAAGAGAGGGGACTGCAAAGGCGCGCTTGCAGCTTGTTTTCTAACTGATCCCAGAAGAGAATTATATATATACGAGCCGACCCGCTGCGTATCATACGCCGCTATTTAGTTGTTTTTTTTTTCTACTTTTCAGTAATTTATAATTTGTGAATTCGACAGTATCAATGCTGCCACTGAAAATATTTGCTTAAAAACACTACCCCCCCCCCCCCCACGTGAAAGCAGCCTTCTCTTAGTTACTTCCTCTAAGTTTAAAATCGTTTCAAACTAAATTATCTGCCCCTAATAGCCGTCACCAAACCCGTCTCTATGATTGTAAAATGTAAACAGCGTGACCACAGTTCACCAGACAATGTGGGGGTGGGGTGGGGGTGGTAGTGATAGTGATAGAGAGAAAGAGAGGGGACTGCAAGGAGGCGCTTGCAGCTTGTTTTCTAACGGCTCCCAGAAGAGAATTATATACATATATATATATAGATAGATCTAGAGCCTTCAAAGAACTGAGCAAAAACATTAATAAAGATCACGAGGTTCTGCTCTTCTACACTACAGTACGCTGGCTGTCAAACGAAATGTTGTAAATTGTGTTTTTGAATTGAAATCTGAAATTAAATTGTTCTTGGGAGTGCAAAGGAAACAAGACTTTTTGGTATACTTAAAACGACATAGAGTGGTTGGAGAGAGTATCATACCTAGCAGATATGTTCGAACATAAAGATAAGCTTAACCTGAAGCTTCAGGGAAAATGAACGAATATTGTAACTTTCCATGATAATCTCGGGGCATTTTTATCAAAGCTGCAAAATCGGTAAAGAAAACAAATCTTGGAAATATTGTTAATTTGAGAAACTCTGCGGTGTGGTAGATGAATCTGATTCTGAGATAATTAAAATTTTGAAAGAAGCGATTTCTGGGCATCTTGAATCTCTTGAAAACTAACTGCGTCGCTATTTCTCTGAGATGAAAAAAGAAGAATTTGCATTTACGCATTACCCATTCTCTTCTTCCCTTGATGTTGCCAGCATTCCCGATGAATTACAAGATGAATTCTTTGATTTGCAGAATGATTCCGTGTAAGATGAAAAACTGCAGACACAATTTTGGTGTAGTATTCACTATTCATACCCAAACGTAAAATTGATTGACTTTTCGAGAATATATTTTCAACACTATTCTTCGATTAAAAACAAAATTAAGATAATTATAATGACATAGGTTGGCGTTAACATTTAAAAAAAAAATTAAAAACTTAACCACGAAGGTTTAGTGAATAGTATGCAATTTTACTCATGCTATTAAAACAGTTATCAAAATTAGTTCATATTGAAAGTCTACTAGAAAATCTTATTTTAGTACTTATTAATTTCCATACCAATTTCGACTTTTTAATTCTATGGGGGTCGCGGGTCTATTACTTTTTATAAAAGGGGGTCGCCACTCGAAAAAGGTTGGGAACCACTGGTCTAAACAGTAATTGCGCTCGACCTGTACAAGATCTGCCTAATGCATTATACATAAGGTTGGCTTAAACTAATTAGTTTCTGCGTGAGAACAATTATCGTTAATGGATCGTGTAGGTAACTAAACAAGTTTATTTTCTCCTTCTTTTATTTGGATTTGTTTTACAAAATTAAAAAGAGAACGACGTTAAGTCTAAAACCATGAAACTGTTTTAAATGTCATATAAAGAAATACAAAGTCTGATAAAACTAAAAGGGATGTATAGTTATCAAGTAGTTGGGTCTGAATAGTCCTGTAGTTTTTCACGTTACATTCTTCTTCTTAGTTCTAACAGAACTGAGTATACGTGTCAACTTGTTTTGCCGCCGATCTCGACCTGCTTTTCTTAAGGATATGCTTCCAACCAAGGACAAACTCCAAGGCAGCATTTGTTTAATTTTGGAGTTGTCTCTCCTAGAAGAGCCGTTTCTGCCCGAGGGCTCGATCACGAACCTTTTCGGTTTAGCGACCATGAGCTTTACCGACTCGACCACGCCAACCCCTTCTTTACAGTATCAAAGTTATGTACTTAAGTTTTGAAAAAAGCAACACGTCAAGCTGCGTATTAAAGATCATCCTGATACATTAGAAAAATGATGAATGTTAAATTATTTGAATGATATAAAAGATCTTGAAGTATCATTTAAAAGATCACGAAGTTAGATCTGTAGGATCACAAAGTAAAGCTGCAGGGAACATTCGATACACATGCATTGGAAAGAATAGCCCTGTAGCTAGTGTACAACAAGTCAATCCACTAAAACGGTCCAAGATAATAATGATTATTTTTCTCCTGTGTCAGTAAAATAGTTGACAGGGAAATAACTACAAGATATATTGCAAGATCACATAAATAAATAAGAAATGAGAATATATACATACTTTTAAACATTAAAATATGTATTATATACATAATAATAATGCCTAATAGTATGTATAGTAAAACAACAGGATGTATATTTTATTGCAGACAAATTAATTTAAAACTAATTTATATGCAAGATTGTATAACTTTCAATTTCTTTTATATGTATTCCTAAAAGTAAATTCAATGACATGATATCTGCATTGCGTAATCGTGGTAGAGGAATTAAAATATATTAATATTTTAAAAAACCCTTTTTAATTAGACATTTTTAAAAAAATTATTTAAATGTAAAAAATAGTGATCTGAGTTCAATATTAGGTCTGACAGGCATAGAGTGATGTCTAATTTAAAAGATCACGACCTCACATCTGAAGGATCGCATAGTAACGCTGATGAAAACTTTCGAACCACATGCATTGGATAGAATAGCCATGGAGCTAGTGGACAAGTCAGTCACAATTCAATCCACTAAAGCGGTCATGGATAATAATTATTAGTTTTCTCCTATGTAACAAACATGATAGTGAAATAACTATAAAATATATTTCACGTTTACATAAATAAATAAGAAACGAGAATATAATATACATAATTTTAAACATTAAAATACCTGCTATTTAGATAATAATAATGCATAATAGTATCCAAAGTACGACTACAGGATGTATATTTTTTTGTAGATATATTAATTTAGAACTTTTTAATATGCAAGATTGTATAACTTTCAATTATTTTCATATTAATTCCTAAAAGTAAAGTCAATAATTTAATGTGTATATTGCATGATTGGTTGCGTACGAGCTATAATATTTCCCTAGAGATTTAAAAAAAAAAAATTGGATCCCTTCAAGTAAGGAACACACAAATCACCAAATCACCAAGCTTTCTACTTCTATAACAAAATATTTTTGGATCCCTTTAAAAAAAAAAAAAAAAAAAAAAAAAAAAAAAAAAAAATTCACCATTTAATTCTACATTAATTTTGAAAAAATAATTTGAACCTTTAAAAAAGTGAACTGAGTTAAATATTAGGTCTGAGAGGCATAGAGTGATATCTCCCAT